CAGGTGGATTTCCATATTGACAATTTGAATAAAAATTGTGCCATATGTAACAGAATGTATCGGACGTTAAAGAATGTAATAATGACATTTCAACGGCCTGATGTGTTTTTTCATACTGTTTTAAAGCTTTTGGGATGTCTTCAAAGGCAACATAGAGTGTACCTCTTGTATACAAGCACCTGCTTGTTCTTCATATCTTGTTATTATTTTCTTATCCCTGTAGTTATGTACCTCATAGTTGTGTTCTCTGTGCATACATTTGTATGGTTTTGTACGCTTTAAGCACTTTTGCAGCCGTATCACACCGCGGACAAAACATGAATGGGCTCCATACCAAATGCCCCAGACCCTATGTCAGGAATCGAACTCAAGTATTTCGAGGTGAGTGAATTTAGTTTTTGCCGCCGCTTCACATTTACTTCATACATTAAGGTTTCCATCAGTAACAAGTAAATATTATGATGTTCAGAGAAGCTACTGATAATCATGCTCAAAACCATTAATTGTCACGAAATTAATCCGTGTTGATAGATAATCGGTAGATTGTGACAATGACCCCAAAGAAGTGTAAAAATAATACAATGTGTTCAGATTAGTTTTTATCCGTTTTTCATCATAAAGCATGTGCTGTTTTATCAGCGAAAAAGCGTACATTTTCTATGGATTGGTCTTATGTCACAGAAACTTTGTGATGACGAAATTGATGTAACGGAAAATTCACTCACACTGTCACAGGTAATTCCCAATCACAAAATGGAGTAGACGGGGTATGATTCGTCCAATCTGGACAGTGATATTATTTTACACTTCCTTATGGGGTCATTTGTCACAATCTACCGATTATTTATCAAAAAGGATTAATATTGTGACAATTAATGGTTTTACATGATTATCAGTCGCTTCCTGAACATCATAAAATGTATTTGTTACTGATGGAAACCTAATGTAAGTAAATGTGAATTCAACTCTCTTAATAATATATTAGTTTTGTAGGCATACAAAGCCATTTACCGTACCTTACCCTTCCCTTGTTGATGCTAAAATCACAAAGACTCTGTGGACATATCGCAAAGTTGCCGTCGCAAAAATCACAAAGACTCCACTCTCACTGTGACCAAGTTCCCTACCAGTGTTTTGCTTGGTGTCCCCCGTCGTCATATTGCTAGAATGTTTCCTAAAAAGTGACTTAAAAACACATTCACTTACTCACTCACTCTCATATTTCACCTAATTCTTGTGTTTTACCTGTTCACAGAGAATCATCATTCGATACGGCTATGTATTTCTACAGTCACCGGTTATTTTCAGAATCATCTTACTTTTTGAAGAGTGTATATTAATCATTAATCAAAATAAGGTAGCTCATGTGTAATGCTTTTGTTTTAAATAATAAAACAATCTGACCACTAACCTTTATGTTTCAGAAACCAAAGGAAACAAGCAATCGGCCCCTCCTCATTTGCCACAACCACAGCAACCACCTCCTCGACAGCTACCAGGTATGTCATTCGTCACCACTCGCCCCTTTCTGTAACCTCCAAAGAGACTCCATTCGATCTTCTTGTAGCATTCATGAATACTCGCCTCTTTCCGTGACCTACAAGAAGGCTCGTACGCCATTATTGCCAAGAATCGTGGCAAAGCAGTCAAATAGCGCGTAAAGTAAAACCAGAGACCATATAATATATGGTCTCTGGTAAAACGCATTACGAAGCACGAAAAATGGCGGCACGGTCGAACTTTTGAAGCTTTCCTAAACTATGCAGAAGCACAATTTTTTCAAAACATAACCTTGAGGGCTAAAGGATCAGCTACTTTCAACACTGGAAACATCTTTACGGAGGGAATGACTACTACGGTTGTTTTGCCCACGGGATGTAGGGATATTCTAGGATTAACCATATTTGGAAAGTCAGAGTTATCTTTCCTTGGTAATAATACTGGACACTTTTTTCATCACCGTGCCCGTTTGCGCTTTGACAGGTCCCAGTAGTAAACATGGCCACGAGAGGGGTACGAGACGCCACCTGGCTTGCCGGAATGACACGAGTAGTTACGAATGTTTCTTGGAGGTTACGGAAAGGGGCGAGTGGTGACGAATGGCAAAGGGCGAGTTCTGACGAACGGAAGTTGACGTCATTCATCTGAAACTCGGTTTTCATTCGTTTCAGATAGGGAAGGTTGAACTGAATGTCACGATGTCCGTTTAAGTAGGTGGTCGCTATATGATCTCCTTGGACTCATCTCAGTGAATATATGTAAATAAAAGGACCACCATATATGTATTATATTGCGTGTACTCAACACAGTATTTGAGAAACTGATTTGATTTGCTCCGTGAAAACCTTGCCTTGTGTCGGAGTAATACAGCTACACAACTCCCCTCTAACAACAAAACTATGTACTTTGATCAAAATAGCAACAGCTAAAAATCCGCACTGTGTTTGCTCTGTGTGTGTAAACATGATATGTACGATAACATGAAAGAGAAGTACATGCTAGTGTGCAAGCCCTTTGCTACTTCACCAGTTTGACCTTGCATAGTTAATTCATAGCATTCGCATCGACATTGGCATTGTATCAGGTAATTGTCAGAGGTGTACACAAAGTACCAGTTGTCCGAAGACTTCTTCTCATGGAGGCCTTACTGTTAGCAGATCTTACGTTAAGGTTGTTGAGTGGAGGACCAAAGTCCAGTCTTTAATCAGCTTGTTGCGGCTTGTTTTTTTGCTGAAAGTATCAACAATAATATATAGGTCTTATTTTGTTGCATTGGAACACTGCTGAATAAACTGGAGAATTTGAAACAATTCCGGATTCTGGTGACCGAATAGGATTATTTCATCTCCTTATTTAACAAGTTTCGGATTTTCAAGAAAATCAGAACATAAATTCGAGCATGCTACACCAGCACAGCCAGGCCATAGATCGGGTATAATTCTACACCTGTGCATCCAGGTTGTGGTTCGGGTATAATGCTACACCAACACAGCTAGAGCGTGGTTCGGGTATAATGCCACACCAGCACAGCCACACCGTGGTTCGGGTATAATGCCACACCAGCACAGACAGGCTGTGGTTCGGGTATAATGACAGCCCTGGCTGTGGTTCGGGTATAATGCTACACCAGCACAGACAGGCCCTGGTTCGGGTATAATGCTACACATGCACAGCTAAAACCGTTATTCGGGTATAATGGTACACCAGCAGCCAGACCGTGGTTTGGTTTGTATAATGCTGAACCAGCACAGCCAGGCCGTGGTTCGGGTATGGTAAGGTTTACACCAACACAGCCAGGCTGTGGTTCGGGCAGATATAATGCTATAATGTTACACCAGCACAGCCAGACTGTGGTTCGGGCATAATGCTACACCATTACAGCCAGACCGTGGTTCGGGACCGTATAATGCTACACCAGCACAGCCAGACCGTGGTACGGGTATAATGTTACACCAGCACAGCCTGGCTGGGGTTCGGATATAATGCTACACCAGCACAACCACACCGTGGTTCGGGTATAATGCTACAACAGCACAGCCTGGCTGGAGTTCGGATATAATGTTACACCAGCACATGTGCATCATGTGTTTAATAGCAGTCGCCAGGGAAAGATAGGGTAATAAAATTGCTTGCCATAAAGGATGAAGACATATTTTCCAGTTAAGGGGCATAACTCCGCTTACCACAAGTTCAATGTAACCTAGTGATAGTTGAGTCTATGAAAATGTTTTAAGCGGCCTTTACACGCCAAACGAAAGTTTGACAACACATGTTGTTAAAATTCTAAAAGTTGTCAAAGTCGCGTTTTCACACGTCAAATACATGTCAAACCTTCGTGTCATGTTGAGCGGGATGTCTCTATCGGTGTGGTCACGTGACAGTTTCGTTGAGTGCCATTGGTTGTTTCTTAACAACACGGGTTTTACAACTCTTCACACGTCAAACTCGAGGTTGACAACACCGAATAGAATTTTATTTAGGAGGATGGACATATATGTCCCTCTGGCATCCGATGAGTTCATAGGTGTATGCTACAAAATGCTGGATAGATCTACGGCTCTTTGACGTACGACAAAGTTTTGAACAAAAGGTCTTTTTAACTGTCGTAGAATTTAGTCTTGAATTTACACAGTACACAAGCGTAACCTTGATTCGTGGATATAAGGGAAGCGCGGTGAAAATCATACGTTATATTCACGATTTCTTGTATACTCACTGATTATTTTTTCATTGATTCAGCAAATTGAAAATGCTTAATACTTATTCCACTCGTGAATGAACCATTTTGTCTACCGAAGCCATTTGCTGTCATAACCCATTCGTGTGCACACAAAATGTGACGTCACCTTGTTTGCAGGATTATATAGTCGGTTACTATATGTCACTATGTATGATAGCCAATTGCAGTAAGAATTGACAAATAAGAAAGCAGGCGACGAGGTGTGAGAAGGTTGCTACTAACGGTGTCTTTATTTTACTTGACAACATACAAATAGCTTGTGCTGTATTACAATTGAGTGGAACCTGGGATTCGAACTCGGAATCAGCGGATCTTATGTTCAGAATTCATCCTCAGCGTCATTACAACCTTAAATTATATTTGGGGATGTAAATTCACCCCAGGGACATAGTACCCGTGAACATCCGGGTTAGAATTGGTCTTTAGCAACCCATACATGGAATATAGCTGCGGCTTCTAAACAACTTACCCAAACTATTTAGATCGATGCTTATGATATTGATCACTGAGTTTACTTGTCCAGACTCGATTATTTATAGACCGCAACCATATAGCTGGTATATTGCTGAGTGCGGCGTTAAACAACAAACAAACAATTACGTGGTGAAAAATAATATCTTGCCAAACGATGAACCAACATGACCCTGAACCTAAGCGAGAGACAGCTTGCGTCGATTCAGTACCACGCTCAAGCCTTTTTCCAAGAAAACCAAGATTCGAGGGAATAGCAGGAAATACCCAGCGTGCTAAAAATAGTTCCACGCGTCACAGCTGTCATCTGCCAGGGGCTCGGCTTATATCGGCTGCTATCGACAAGGCTGAGCTGATTGTCACGATGTCTGGTAAAGGTAGGTGTCAGATTATGATCTACATTGCCTTGTACTACATTGTGTAAACCGCCCTAAGAGTATTTGTTCTTAAAAGTATTGAATTGTGTCAATCTATTTCAGCAGCAACACCAGACCCAGTGTTTTTAATGAATCATTGCAACAACCGTTTACATCATACTTGTAGAAGCCGTTAAACAACCCAACTGTAACAAACAATTCACAGCGCTTGTTCAGTTTGCCGAGGGATATGTATATGAGAATCTACCGTACGAACTTCTATTATAAGACGCCAGCAGTAATTCATTTCTCGTTGAATTACTGCTGCCGTCTCTTAGAGGTGGTACGGAAGTAATATATTTCACTATAGTGAATCCGAAATTCATAAAAATCTCAGAATTCTACAATCATACAACCATTTCTACACAACCGTACATTTACAAAACAAAGGACATAAGCAATGACGAACATATATGACAGAATCAAATTCGTTGGTTTGATGGTTAACGCCGCAATCAGCCTGTAAATAATCGAGTCTGAACCAGATAATCCAGTGATCAAAATCATGAGGATCGATATATATAGTTGGTAGACATGTGTCAACCAAGTCAACGAGCCTGGTCACCCGATCCCGTTAGTCGCCTTTTACGACAAGCAATAACACCAATTCTAGGCCCCGATTTCTCGAAACAAACTTAAGTTTTTAAAATTACAAACTGAGTTTGAGATTTTGACTCAGCTGAGTTTGTTGCGTTTCTCAAAACAAACTCAGTCAAAACTCAAGTTTCAGATCGAGCTGAGGTTATTTTTTATACGTGGTGTAAGCGGTCATGGCGCGGAAATCAACTTCTGTTTCTAATGTAAACACGGTAGAAAACTCGTGTTGAGAATGCTAGCGAAGGGATCGTCTGCCGATAGGAAACTAGCCTCAAATATTTTGATGAGTTGAGAATGGCTACCAGCGGGATGGAACCTATACGCCAAATTTTCTCATCTCAAGTTTGTTTCCGAGAAATCGGGGCTTGGGGCGGTATGAGTTACCTGGACCTAGCAGGAAATAATCTCAAATATTTTCAACAAATGACACTGTTCCACTTTAGGATCCGGAGTGTAATGAATAGCGTGCGCCTGATTTAGAAAACACATACGGTACACGACATGCATTAATTTCAGTCTGGGAGATTCACGTTAGGTGTAATGAATAGCGTGCGCCTGATTTAGAGGGTGAATTGTCAGGGGGAGGTGAGGTGGGTTTAACGTCGGGTGCTTTTAGAATATTTCGCTCATATGACGACGTGCATGCGTGTGTATGTGTATGTGCGGCTGCTTGTACTAGCCCAGACTGAAGCTGGTTTTATAGTGCTAGCCCACTGAGATACCAAGTTGCAGTGAAGCATGAATACCCCACTCAGACAGATTATACTGACTCCGAGCGGACCAGTCCTTGTTGTACCCATTAATGCCGAGGGACCAACAAGTACCATATTTTAACGTCTTTTTGGTATGACGCGGTCGGGGATCGAACCCCCGACCTTCCACTCTCCGGGTTTCACGTGAAGGTGACCTTTTAGTTTTAGATGTTCGCAGGTAGGCTAATCTCGGTACACTTCGAATTTACCTGTTGTTTTACTTGTTTTTAGGGATTAGGCTTTGGGGTTGGTGTGTAATATTTAACTGCGCATGCGCTCTCAGAGAACTGATTACTGACTATCCGCCACCTTACTTGAATCTTTGTGATGAAAAGTTGACAATTTAAAAAAAATTCAACTTTAATGATGAAATAATAGTAAAAACGCAAATAGTTGGTAAAACACTCATTCATATATATTACAATGTAGAATGTGCTGAAATATTATGCACCCCATTCGAGATTTCTCCCTACAACCCGAGAGCTGCAGTTAGTTGGGTCAGGACGGTTTCATTTACAATGTACACAGTCTACAAGATATAGGCTTGAGAGGTGTATTGTGTTGGAAATGCACCGGAAAACACTGACAGTGAACCGGGGTGCACTGTGGGCGACATTCAACGCAGGAGGAGCAAGCCATGCATTTCCAGTTTTTCTTGATATTTATACACTAGACTGACGTACGAAGGAAAGTACACCACAAGTTGCACCCAGTTTAGCGACCTGTGTACAAACAGTGTGTGTGGCTTCTAAGACACAGTCAAAACGCTTTTCAAACTATTTACTTCGTTTCTTTAAAAATAATCCCCAAACATCAGCCTTTAATTGTTAACACTCATGCGCCTGTAATGGTTTTGAGTCAGTTGAGATTTAGCCACCAGTGTAGGATGTTGTGACACCCCATTAAAAGTCGCCTTTGTGCAAATAAACCATATTTAAAGAATGGATTTTACTAGAAACTGACCTGTTGAATTTATGAAGGATAATTGTATCTTCTTCATAGCTATCATTTTTCTCTCATCGAGTGACCTCTTTAAGTTGATAAAGGTGACAAGTTGGGCTAACCATGCAATTTGATACGAAAAGACAAATTTCAAATTTTATCATGCTGTATTTTACTGATCTTCATTGTTTTACTATGAAAACTAGAGTGAGTGAGTGAGTTTAGTTTTACACCGCCAAAGCAATATTCCAGCAATATCACGGTGGGGGACAAAGGAAATGGGAAAACTAAGGTGTCATAGAGGCTTTGATAGTAGTGCGACGTATTTAGTTCAAGTGTAGCCTAATATAATGTACCTGGCGTCAGCAGGCGGGGGTTCTTGGCCGTCATAAATTCACTGCTAGGTACTCGAACAAACACATAAACCAAGCGCTGACCTGATATGAACAACACACAATGGACAACTCAAACGAGTAAAGATGATCTACTTGCCCTGTGTAATTCATAACACCAGACGCTGCCTGTATTATGAGCCTATGACCTTTACTAAATATACGGGGCGGTGGGGTAGCCTAGTGGTTAAAGCGTCCGCTGGTCACGCCGAAGACTCGGGTTCGATCCCCACATGGGTGCAATGTGTGAAGCCCATGTCTTGTACCCCAAGCCATGATATTGCTAGAATATTGCTAAAAAGCGGCGTAAACCCATACTCACTCACTACTAAATAATCTGTATGTCTTTCCTTGATCACATGTTTAACAAATATCGTACAGAAGACGGGCAACATTAAAGGGTTTGGGGAGAACATAAGACAAAGTCTGTATTGTCAGGAGATGAGATTCGTTGTCCGAATAGAGAAATCACTTGAAACTGTTGATTTCCGACACAGAATAAACGACATCCAAAGGGACGAGTTAATTCTCTTTCGGAATTACCGGAACCGAGACTTTTATCTGACATAAACAATGTTGTGTTTCTTATATAATTTATTCACAACATCGAATAATTGTGCATCAATTTTCATTAGTTCGAAGAGTAGCTTCTAAATGGATACTGAATCCCTGGCTCAGAATCAACCACAAGAACGTCATCGTGACGTCATCAGTGATGTAAAACAAACGAAAAGCTATCCGGTTTTTCAGTTCTCATGAGGTTAGTGAGTGAGTTGGGTTTTAAATCCCTTTTAGCAATATTCCAGCAACGTCACGGCAGGGAACACCACAAACGGGCTTCACACATTGTACCATCTGGGGAATAGAACCCTGGTCTTCCAACGCTTTAACCACAAGGCTAATGCGTAGTGGTGTGACGATTCATCGATACGCATCGATGCTTCGATCCATGGGCCGCCGATATAGTGATCGATACAAACTTTTACATCGTCGTATATCCCGATACGATACTTCAAATGGGCCACGATACATCGATGTTTTACTTTGAATATTGACGAATCCCGATATCTGTCAAGAAAGACTTACTTTTGTTTGATGATTAAATTATATGCATACTTATTTTCCCTTCAAATAATAAGTTTTTCGGAAATTATTGCGCCAGGAACTGACTGTGTCAAACATAGCGCTCGCATTATATTAACATTCACAAAGTCCGTGCATAAACGTAATTATCTCATTTCCGAATTAACATTGAAAAACGCTGGCGGAATTTGACAAAATGCTTTAAAATAGTTTTGTTTTGATCTTAAGGTGTTTTATAGTTGGTGTTAGAATGAAAGTTTTTGGTACCGTGATACGTATCGTATCGCCACCCTTTTATTGGGATTCGTATCGTATCGCAGCTTCAGTGCACAATACTTTGGCAATATATCATATTTACTACAATTTTAGTATCGTGATGTATCGTATCGCAGGTTGTATGCCAATACCTGCACCAGTGATAATGCGCCGCCCCCAATGCGGTTAGAAGTCCGGGTGTCATGAGAGTTTCTCTATAATTAAATGGGCAGTTTGCAGAATGGGTCAATGTAAGTACTTAGTAATATATTATATCAAAAAGCGATTTCTCGATACACAAGATATAGGCATGTGCTCAGAATGTATATTTCTGAGCACGTCTGCTATTATAATTACGCGTACTTGGAGTCTTTTTCTGTAAAACCAAATAATTTAATCGCTGTCCTTGTGTTTCAGAAAGCAAATAGGGACAGTATAAACTGCCGCTGTTACAGGTCATTGGCTCCCTCCCTCTGCCAGCATTCTGCGTTCTGCTGTTTATTTTGTTGACAGTTACATAGACAGATTCTTTAATACATATCCATAAAATCGGTGATTTACAATGTGATTAGGTTGTCTGACAAAACATCAACTTGCACAGTTTGAGATCGATTGGGTTATTGGATGAAGATATATTTACAAAAACCGGGTCCACATGCATTTCATGCCAAACTATAGAGTGGTTAAAGCGTTCGCTCGTCACGTTGAAGACCCGTTTCGATTCCCCACATCGGTGTAATGTGTGAAGCCCATTTCTGGTGTCGCCCTCAGTGATTTTGTTGGAATATTACTAAAAGCTGCGTAAAACTAAACTGCAACATATATCATTTTAACGTCTCACTTAAATAAAAATTCCTTCATAGAATTACGTCCGCGTTAGAATTTGCCTTAAGTTACCCATGCTTCTCGTAAAAGGCAACTAACGGGATCGGGTGGTCAGGCTCGCTGACTTGGTTGACACATGTCATCGGTTCCCATACGCAGATCGATGTTCATGTTGTTGATGACTAGATTGTCTGTTCCAGACTCGATTATTTACAGACCGCCGCCATATAGGTGGTATATTGCTGAGCGCGGCGTAAAACTAAACTCACTCACCCACTCACTCATAGAATTACGGAGAAAACCCTTCCTCACTGCCATGTCACTTCAGAGAAACACCACGAGAAGTCGTGGGATTTCAACAAGCAAAAACAATGTAGATTTTCTCTGTTCGTTTGTTTTGTCCTATATCTAACTTCTCAAGTCCCCCTTGTTTATGTGTTTGTACACAGTGGTGAGTTTATAACAATAGCGGCCAGTCGATAGCCTGTCAGCATCAGTGACATTATACATCACTCGAGTGAAATATTACATTATAACGCTCATTTCTTTACTGTCATGGTGACAAGTATCATGATTGATATGTAACGACCATCTTGTTAGGGGTTCCCCTCAAAGTATCTGACGTAAAACAAAGTATAAAGGTAAGAATATACTGCTTGACCAAATTTAAAATACAGACTGATTATATAAAGGAACACCCGAAAGAATATTCAAGTCATATACAATGCATGAAAAGTCTTTGCCGTAGATTCGTAACGAATATAATTACGTGTGTTGTGTCCTTGACATGGAACAAGCACGCATATTCGTGCTAAACATGCACTTTGCGAGATTTGAGGCTTTAGCCCATACATTCGTAATGCACATACAGTCCGTTTGGCTCAAAAGCGGACCGATGAATTGCAATCTTACTCGAAAACTAATAAACATATAATACTCAATGAAACGCTGATCATAATCAAAACATCAGACCAACTCTGTGATTTGTTTGCAGAATTTATGTTCTAATATTAAACAAGTTGTTTTAACAAACTATCATTAAAATTTTGACACAGTTCACCATTTGTTACGAGGGAGGAGTGGAGAAAGGGACAGCCAGGTGTTAGAGAAGCAAGTGCCGACAACGTTATTAATTCATTAACTTGTGCTGTGCCGTCTCCATCCTTTCTCGCACACGGTCCGCTTTTGAGCCAAACGGACTATAGTTAGAATTAATTCCAACGCTTACAATTTGCATTTCAGAAAGTAGGTCAGTAAACTGTCACTTCGCAGGGCGAAGGTTGAAACAATGTTGTGACCCCATTGCATATTTTTAAGCCAGAACTACTTTCAGTCTTCCCACAGTGACTGTGATTTTCAAAGCAAAATCATGAGTATCGCTTACATACTAGATACCGTAGAACATTTGTCTTATCTAGTCAAATGACATGTTTACGTCATCTAATTGACCTAGTGTATACACAGCTAAGCTTTGTACAATGGTTGACATGATTCATATGATAGCCTCGTAGCCTATCCGTGAACTGTGAAAAGCGCTTTGTTTTGAGGCTACTGTCGCCTAAAACAGACGAATCTTATTATTTTCACTGTGTGGACCGGTGTTTAAACATGCGAAAACATCGGTTTTACTATTTCTACTGATTTCATACAAAATACATCATTGGTTGTAAAGGTTGATAAGAAAAAAATGATAAATATTATTTTAATTATATTCTTTCAATATGTACAATGTAGTACAAGACTGGATCTACAAGTTCTGTTTTTGGCACATATTTACTGAGATGAGTCCTACGATATCATTTTGTGACCACCCAACTTTCCCGGACATCCTGACGTTCAGTTCAGTCTTCCCGATAAGAGCCGAATGAAATCCGATCTACAGGCGTATGATGTCAGAAGCATGGCGTTACTATTTTAGCATACCTTTGTAGATCCTGTGGAAAGGTTTGTGATTGTTTATCCGTGGAAATGTTCATATAGGATTGTTTGTGTCGCTGAATTCATGCACGGATTTTGTCCTTTCCATTATGAGTTTCTTCTTATTACTTTGTTGTAATTCAGTTTCTTTATTAGAATATGGAGTCACAAAATTAATATCCACTGGGGCTTGTAACGCAAATTCTAAGATGCTTCGCTAAAAGATCAAATGCGCCGACAATACGTTATCAAGTCTCCCCTGATGCCGGAGGGTGAGTCACACAATGCATCCATGGAATGTGGGTGAGTGAGTGAGTTTAGTTTTACGCCGCTTAATCTTAGCTATATTCCAGCTATATCACGGCGGGGACACCAGAAAAGGGCTTCACACACAGTACCCATGATGGGAATCGATCCGGGTCTTCGGCGTGACGAGTGAACGCTTTTACCCACTAGGCTGCCCCACCACCCCTCCATGGAATGTCGCGTGACTAGCCAACTTCATATGGATTTCTGTTCTAACCTTATAATTACGTTGGCAGTAGAAGTTCGACGTTCACATTTCCCAATGTGGCTTACGATAATCACAGGCGTAACTGAAATAATATAGAGAACATATTTCACCCGAACGTAAGCAGTCATCAAACGGTCTACTCCCATTTTTGAGAACTCCCAGTTGTGAGACTCCCAGTTGTGAGACAGTGTAGTAGGTAATTAGCAAAGAAAACACACACTTACTCCCCTATCTGATAGAATGGATTAACCCCAGCTAATTATGGATTAGCTATTGAACTGAATCTTGTGGAATCTAATGAAACTCTAAAAGATAAAGTAATTAACCTACTCAGGTAAATGGCTTTAAAAACTAAACACTTTGTGTAGGTATCTTCGTGATCATTTGAAAGAGAAATTAATTTACCTACTCAGATTTACGTGTTTGAACAATCTAGCAATAACTGTTGCACCTATAATTCATCCAAATGTATTTATTAACCTTTGACTGCTCTTTCCGATCACCATTATGGCAGGCCTTCAACAAGTAGAATATATCACCAGTTCACGATAATCATTTTCAGTATTTCAGTATCTATTGAAAATAATAAATGCTCTTCAACGAACAATGTCTTCTGTGTTAATTAACTCATTAATGAACTATGCCTCCTGCGGGTACTCTTCAGCCACAGGGCTGTTCCCACTTTCATCGTAGGTATGGGGAAGCACCACATGCTCTTAACTTATGGGGGCATTCTCAAAAATGGAGGCACGACGGTTTCAAGAGCCCTTCAGTCAGCACTGAACGAGGATTGATAATTTAGGTCACCGACGCTGTCGCTTTGATGTTTGTTTTCTCCTAAGATTAATTCCTGTGTGTATTAGAATTGGTGCATCTTAGAAAAGAAATACAGTTCGCTCACCCTCCATGTACATTGTATAATGTAATGAAGTGCCTTTCCCTGAACTATAGCGTAAAAGTGTTCCCTATTACGCTTTACATAGGGGTAGAACAAACTGTATTCCTTAAATAAAATGGCGGTTATACCTTGTCAATGACAGTATTTATCAAGTTCCGATAGCCTAAGATCTAGTTTTGAGAATGGTCCTGGGTACCGTTGTACAAAACGATCTCAGTGTTAAGGTGACGGTACGATAGTCTTAATGCTAAGGTTGTATTGTACAATGGCACCATAGGTTCCTAGTTTGGATTTTACGCTATAGTTTATTCGTAGAAATACATATTTAAAGATATTAATATTTTTTCTTGCACTAAATATCTCATTCTCCATACCTGTACAAGCTACACTACAGGGCCTGAGATATAGCCCGCATCCCAGCAGTGGACAGACCAGATAGGGATGCATCCTCGATAATCTCCAGGATATACGTTACGATCACTCTACACTATATATATAGTGGACAGTGATCGTAACGTTTTCCTGGAGATTATCGAGGATGATAGAGATGGGGTCCAGAGATTTACGCCTCATCACCAGGGTGAGACTGCCACTCACACATGTTTTAAAGCCTTTGTTTAATTCCTATTTTGGAATATATCAAGTATTTTAAATGATTTTGTATTTGTAAACTATGTGATGGCTTTAGATATTATTGGTCTTACTGAAACTTTGGTTGATCGACTTTAATGACAAAATATGCTTTCAGATTCTAAAATATATAATACAGAAGCAGAAAATATATCTAAAAGGTGGCAGACTTTCTGATGGGATATGTGTGCTGTAAAATCACATTTGACTAAGTATGTACTAGACAAAACACTTTTTCATCTTAAATATGATATTTTATATGCATGTGAATATATCCATCCATAATGTTCTACGGATTATAACAAACCCGGATTATACTCTAAGAATAGAATAACTATTTTCCAGGATTAATTTATTAGATGTACTTAGACTGTGTATCAGATGTATATATATGTTGCTTGGTGGTGACTTCAATGCTCGAACGGGTACGATTCTGGATTTTGTTGAGGGGTGACATGTTACAACATTTAGACAGACAGTATCACTCAATGTGAGATTTTTATAGTGGATGTTTTCACTCTTCAGCGTGATAAAGCTGTGATTAGTTTTGGCAAACGGTACATGTGTAGTGGATGATATGATCACCTCATCAGCCGTTTTTGATCAAATACATAACTTTGCTATTCCGCTCCAGACTGAATCTGATCACATTCCTCTTACGTTGAAATTACCCGACAACTCAAGAAAAGGTTTTGTAGACCTATCTGGGATAGTGATAAACTGGAGCAGTTTAGACAAAACCTTCTATCTGACTCTGTGCAAGATCTACTAAACGAACCCATAGATACAGCCTTTACTAATATTCATAAAAGTATGGAACTTAATGCTGAAACCTTATGTACAGCCGGCAGTGATAGTAGGGAAAAACGTAGGCTCCAAATGATTTTATTACATGGCAAGACGCTGGTTGCGATATGTTGAAAAAACAAGATGCAGGTATCTTAATAACTTTAGGAAATATAAAGATTCAGATTAATTTAACAAATATGTTTTCAAAATGGCGGAAAATTTGCTGAGCAAAGACATTCCTTCCCAAACTCAGAATGTAACCCAGGAAATAGTCTCAAAAACGCAATCTGATCTCGGAGATGGTACGGTGTTCTCCATGCACGTACTGTTCACAAGGACTAACCCGCCCTATAAAATGCACCCCAAACCTGGTGGAAATTCACATTACGTCGTCAGCAGGATGCCGCGACTCACGACAGCTCAGAGGAAGCAGGCGCTAGGAAGACTTGAAGCTGGCCACACTGCACAAACCGTAGCCAATCACTTCCAGGTCAACGTTCGGACCATCTACAGGCTGTAGCAACGTTTCCAGGCCACCAACACCACAAATGATTGCCCCATGTACTGACAGACCAAGGGTGACCGCAAGACGATAAGACCGCCATGTTCTGCGACAGCATGTACAGAATCCCTTCATGCAGGCATTCGAAACAGCACGCCAGACGGTGGGAACACACGGAAGACCAATCAGTACTGATACAGTACGCCGACGTCTTAATAGCTGGAACCTCCATTGCCGTAGACCTTACCGTGGACCTATCCTTACCCCTCGTCATCGGCGTGAACGTCTACAGTTTGCCCTACAACACCAAAACTGGCGATACAGGCAATGGAGAACTGTTCTGTCCACAGATGAGAGTCGGTACTGCGCATCAACTGCAGATGGCAGAATAAGAATATGGCGACGACGTGGCCAGCGTTACTCAGACCAGTGTGTTATGGAAAGAGACTCATCGGGAGGTGCAAGCATCATGGTATGGGGTGGAATAGGCCTGAACCAGAGAGTGGGTCCTGTGGTGTTCCAGAACCTTGGTCCAGGGAGAGGAGGCGGCATCACAGCGGTGCGCTACATCGACCAAGCTCTCAGACCCCACGTCATAACACATTTCGCACTTCACCGGAACAACATTTTCCAGCATGATAACGCCCGGGCCCATGCTGCCAGAGCTACACGTGACTTCCTTAAGCAGAACGGTGTCAACATTGGGCAGTGGCCAGCCCTTAGGCCTGATTTAAACCCAATTGAAAATCTTTGGGATGAAATTCAAAGGAGACTGAATAATGTCACACCTAGGCCGAACACAGCCGACTTATTACACCAGGCCTTTCTCCGAGTTTGGTTCCAGGTGCCAATGGCCTTCATCAATCGATTGGTGCGCTCCATGCACAGACGCTTTGCTGCAGTTATTGCCGCTCGTGGTGGTTACACTAGATACTGAAGTCAAGAGTCTGAACGAACTGCAAACGTTCACGTAATGTCTTGGAATTGTGCTGAGTTATTCATCGATGTGTCAGGATATTGTACACAAAAACTTTTTCTGATCCGCTTATAATGTCCATTTATGTAATGATTTGATTACAGTGCCTATCTAATTTTGAATTCGTACTGACGTTCTTTTGCTGCTGAGTATATATAAAGCACTTGGTGACTTATCATCTAACTATTTTCCAGATTATTTATGCTTAAATATGCCCAATACCTTTGTATGAGATCTGGGGAATCAAAGCTTTCGATACCATAGAAAATATTCATTTATATGCATTCGTGACCAACTCGTGTTATTCCGGGACAAGCCGAAAAAGACGAGTGGTGACGAATGTACAGAAAAGGGCGAAGCTGACGTCATGCGCGAAGAGCTCGATTTTCATTCGTCTCGGATTGGGAAGACTGAGCTGATCACCATGGCTGATAAAGGGTAGGTTGATATGATGTAATCTTGTTAAATCCATCTCAGTAAATATATGTAACGAAAGAACCAGCATATATGGATTATACTGTGTGTACTCAAAAGAGTATTTAAGAAATTGATTTAATACGCTGCGTAAAACCCCTTGCTTTGTATCGTATTCCAGCTATACAACTAACATCCATGTATTATGCATGATGCAGTACCCCAGACCCAGACTATATAACAGTGACGTGATTTACATGTATATGGAAAATCATAGCGGTATGAGCGCCCGCTCATAGTTTCGCAGTGTGAACATTTTGGTCAGATAGATAGCAGTATTAAACAATACAGATTTATCATGGGTTCTTCGAACTCGTTGTTTCTCTGTTCCCATGGCATCTTCTCATTCAATTCAAAACATCCAAATGCACCAGTAACACGTTCAATATATGTATCGTATTTCAGCTCCACAACTAACATCCATGTATTATGCATAAGGCAGTGCCAGATCACTATAGCAACATCGATTGTACTGATCACTTCTGTATCGAAATTCAGTTATATTCAGTTGTTAAATCATACTACGGGGTCGTGCTGCTTGTGGGAGATGAATTATGTGTAATTCGCTATACGATGATCTGTTGTGAATCTAATGTACTATTTTAATATTTTGACGTGTCATTGACATGCGACTTTAACTTGTAAATTACAACTATCAAGACAAAATGATCTATCCTTTCAGAAACTGTAACTCTTTATTCAGTCAGTATGAGACGTGTAAACTCATCACATCATCCATCACTGAAAGTAAAGTGGATGCAGATGTGTTGTTAGCTATCGAAAATAATCAAAACAATAAGGAAAGCAAAAATAGACCTCATTGTTAACTCCCAATGAAGCGCAATTAATGCTAATATATGCTAATTAAGAATGGTTTGAACTGTTAATATGAGTGTATCCTCATATATCTGTCATATTATCAAAGAAACAAAATAGTGTCTACTCCAGCCTCAATGATTTCACCTCTGGCATAAGTAAAAGGGCAGTCTTAATTGTCATTTAAAGTTCAATCTCTATTGCTGTGGTGAATTACGCAGTGGCAAGGTATGAGCACACCTCCGCCTTTATCTGCTGGTGCAGGCCAGGTGGGAAAGTTTTGAATAGGTTCTCCAGCTGGCTCAGCACTGCCACCCACATCAAGAATTTGTCTGAATGACCCCGCAAGACTTCTTGGCACATGACCAATGAGTAGGCCAGCTACATCTTTGAGATTACGCTTCACATCTGTAGCCAAATTATGCATATGTATTGGAAACTTTCAATTGAGGGTATCAAACCAGACAAACATTTCGGTCATGACTATTTGTGTGTTCCATGTCCACTGCGAGGAATGTCAAGGGGTCTGCTGACGGAGTCTAATTTTAAACTCATGATCGTTGTAAATAATAGAAGCACACTTCTAGTCAGAAAAACATAATACACAATACGTTTCTATTAGAAATAAATATTAGTGAGAAGTCATGTCATGTTTCTCTTTGTGAAGGATAAATGGTTTCAGTGTAGCATGCCTAGTGTTTAGTAAGATTCGCACACGAAGGACACATGAATTGATCATCAGCTTAAGCATTGGGATGAGTTGAGCAGCGTCAATGTTTCCATCCCTTACAAGAACAATCACATTCCACTCAAACGTGACCACATTCAAGATCCTGATCCTCAATCCACGACATGCGACAGCCCTGCAGATGACATCTTCGTCCTCTGCTTCACTCCACAGCTGGAGCAGCCACTGTTCTAACTCTGTTTGAAGTTTTCTTCTTTCCAACAGACAGGAGGAAACGGCTGGAGCAGGAACGGCTCCTTGCAACATAAACTTACCATTTGCTCTTTTCTCTCGTTCGACAAACTTTCTGAAGGCTCTTTAAACTCATGGCCCTGATGCATTCATCGGACGTTACATTTTTGGCATATTACCAAGAACATGGGTTCTCATACGCAGAGAAATGTGCTTGGTGTGTGTCAGTACAAGAGATTCTTGCAGAATTGGTGATACTGACAACGTACCAACATCAAAGAACGATTCTTCATCATCATCTTCAGTCATATCGAACGATGTAACGGCACTAGCAAGGAATATTGCTCAGTGAGGCGTAAAATTAAACTCACTCACTCTGCACTATGGAAGTAAAACTAGGTACTGTTGTTCCCTGTAATTATATCAACATTTACTCGTAGAGACTTAAATCAAGATTTCTAAAATCTTTGGTTGCTGATGTACCTTTTAGCAATTAAAAGTTTGAGGTGAGCCCTTGACGGTATAAAATGAAGTCAACTACGACTTCACCAATACGTATCATATAGATAGATACATATCATGTTTAAAATGTGACTATTCTGAAATCATGAAATGCTGGTCAATATGTCACTGCCTATTCACGTAACCAATTGCAGCAGTTTTCATTCTTTCGTGCTAAAGTTGAAATATACTCATGGAAACGAATAAGAGAACACCTGAAAGTTCAGATGTCCCCATGGAACATCATTGTCAGAGAGGGTCTGGATGAGATGTTTTTCGGGACTTGATCGGGGTTAGCCTAATGGCCGCCATGTTTGTTTACAAACAATGCAAACGTTGTTTGTTTGTTTTTTATAAGGTTATTTATTTTAAAAGACAGACTACTATTTATAACGCATTTTTTTGCAAAATAAATGTCTAATAAAAAAGAGTATCCATATTCTTTATGTTTTCTTTTTTAATCTCGAAATGTAGTGAGTACAGCACGTTCTAATTATCAATGAAACGGTAAAAGTTGTCAATGATCATGAAAAGTAGTTCCGTCAACCAATCATATTTCTTCTCTGCTTAGCTGACCAATCAACGTTGAGAATCACTGAAAAGCACATGTGTGATTATCACAAATATAATCACCTGTGTATCCTAGCCCGTATGGGTAATAATACCAGTGATCCGGAACTTATTTCGAAATAGTGATAGCAGTCAATGGTCCACTGACATATGGTGACGCATTGTGCTTGCTGTGTATGTAACTTTGGTATGTACGACAAAATGGTTAAAAAAATAAATGCTTGTGTGCAGGTCTTTTTAGTGCCTGAGAGCGTGTGATCGAATGCCGAATGAGATCCAACCCCAAACAACTAAAATTTGTACTTAAATGAGTAAGTGTAATTTCAAAATATATATAGTATTGTTTGACACGTATTAGATGAGCCTACGCAGTACAACACATGCTGACCGTGGCGTGAACTCAATACCGCTTCTGTTTAATACGTGTCTCGTCGAGCAATTTAGTTCAACCAAGACACCATCTTGACACGAGTCAATTGTTGAATGTTTGCAAATTTTAATTAATTTAACATGTCCGAGTTAGGGAAGCATGGGCAAATTGTTCATTCTCAGTCAAGGGGAGTTAGCCTTCAAGTTGCGCAAACCCAAAGCGTCCAAGCAGAAACTTGATGATTTTGACCGGTGTGCAGTCTGTCAATTTGTACAAAGTTTATATGGATTACAAAGCAACTACCTACTCTAGATATGATACATGATATGGCAAGAAGCCAATTGCATTACCAGGGTTCAAAGGAAAGTTTTCGAAAAATCTGAAACATGACATGGGGTTTAGGTGGTGAAAATCGTTAGGTTTTAATGGAACGAAAAGATATCGGTGCAAAGCTCATGCAATACTTACGTGCAATAAAAATGTCAAGATGAAAATCGAACAATTATCTTTATCGATGAAACAGAGTTGCATGTACACCACATCGTCCCAAAATGTTGGCAGTTCGATGGTGAGGTTGTGATTAATGGGGTTCAGCCTCCGCCAGGTACCGGACCTCGGCTTATTGTTCTTCATGCAGGGTTCGAAAACGGTTTTGTACCAAATGCTTTAATTACTTGTATTTGACTCAAAGCTCAAATCAGCAGATTATCATGACGAGGTGAATTTTGATATCAAAATCGAACAATTTATCTTTATCGATGAATCAGTAGTTGCATGTATCACATCGTCCCAAAATGTTGGCAGTTTCGATGGTGAGGTTGTGATTAATGGGGTTCAGCTTCCGCCAGGCTGCTGGACCTCAGCTGATCCAACTTCATGCCGGTTTTGTACCAAATGCTTTATTACTTATGTATTTGACTCAAAGCTCAAATCAGCAGATTATCATGACGAGGTGAATTTTTTGATATGTTTGTCCAAATGGCTGCAGGAAAATTTGATCCAACACATTCCACCTGACTCGGTCATTGTTATGGATAATGCGCCATATCACAGCAAGCAAGTGGACAAATGTCCAACAACGGTTAACAGAAAAGATGACATCAAAGCTTGGTTACAAGAGCACAATATTGCATTTGACGATAAAATGCTCAAAGCCGAACTGTATTTGTCTGGCAAAATCCAACAAATCGGACCCTGTCTATAGAGTAGACACTATGTTGAAACAACATGGCCATGATGTACTTCGTCTTCCTTCTTACCACGCAGAACTGAACCCAATTTAGTTGATGAGGGCCAATGTAAAAATTATGTTGCGAAACAAAAGTTCACAAAAATTCACGCAAAGAGTTTCCGTATAGTCCAAGAGCCCGGGGTGATTTTCGTACCGAGAGGCCAAAAGGTTTGAACATGTCTTCTGAAGTAAAATTGCCTGACGAATCCAGAAAATTCAGTCTTAATAATCAAAGCTGTGGCTACAGTCCACTGAAGTGATGACTCAGCATTTTTTCAGGTAAACTGATGCATCATTCCAAATTACACTTCCCAACTACAAATATCTGACCCGGAAGTGAAGAATGTCTAATTTCACAATATAGAATGTTTAACAGAGTAGTATGTAGAGCAATTAGATACCGTTTTTCTTCTTAGATTCATGAATTTTTGTCATTCTACACCCTGAAGTTCAGTGTAATGAAACGAAAATGTAATATAATATGGTACTAAAGGCTTATAAATTTGTAAAATGTGCAAGGAATACAAATATATCAATAAAATTCATATGCCACTCAAAGATAAGTGTTTTATCTAAGAAAGAAAAAGTAAGGGTAATTCTACAAAATTACTTAAGGGTAGATAACTCAGTAAAATAAGGTTTTCAGAAAGAGAATTATCAATTGCTTTTCAGCCTACACACACGTAGGTAGAGACATTCTAAAAAGTGTGATAAACCACCAACAGTACTTCATGATACAAAACTGGTCATCTGGCAAGTGAAACACACATGCACGCATGCACGCACTCACGCACACAAACATGTTGACTTTAGAAGTAGATAGAAGCAACAGAACCCTTTTGACATACATAAGAAATCTCTGCTAAAAGCAGAGTCGATTGTATAATGGTAACTATATCCTGTATTAGTAGTTAAAGCAGTTAATTCTGATTTGTCACATTCATATTTTTGTATTTCTATCTGAATGTATTGGGCCACCTCATCACAGGTCATACTCATCGTCAGTATCAGAGTCAGTGCATCTTCTCCACCTTCACCCTCATCCTGATTCTTCTTCAGGGTCTTCAAAGGTTTTCAAAGGAAGGTAGTGCAGGCAGCACACGTGCAGGACACGGGTAGCGCAGGCAGAGCACGGTTTCGGCTGACAGTCACATCTCGCAGGCCTCCCCAATTTCCCTCTATCGCAGGCTTACTTTTCAAAACAAAACCTCGGAGTCGGTTTGGATCCTTTACAAAATCTCCGGTCACTCAGTGTGTGTGAGACCGCTGAATTTGTGTACTGTGGATTTGTTCACTCACTCTGAGAATGTGGGTTCTAAACCCGGATGGGACTCACCTCAAATGTATTAGAATTTGTAAGATAGCTTGATATTTATTGAGAAAGTGTAATCCTAAACATAACCTATATGTTCGGTGTTCTATGTTCTATTAAAACTGTTGTTACGTCGCTGCGTGTTATCCTGGAAGTCGTTCATTACAAGATTTGTGGAAGACAAACAGCAAAGACGTGTTTAAATAATGACGTGAAAAGGTTAGAGATATATTCGACCACTGACTCAATATTTTCAGAAAGAAAAGAATACAACACATTGTGTATGAACCTGTTAAGCACGATCAAAATTATTTTTACTGTTGCAGCAATAGGTGGAGGTGGAAAGCAAGTAAACACATCTCCCAACGTTTCTTCTTCATGTCCAACAGGTATGTGAATGTGGAGTGTCATGACTTGTTTCAGAGAAGGAGAATTAAATTCATATGTTTATGTTTTTCGGTGCCAGTTAACAAATCTGCCTTCAAATGACGGAACTGAGTCAGCAGTTTTTCCGAAGACTTCTTCATTTCAGTTTCTTGGTGTTAATGTACGTCGCAGTGATCCGAATACCCTTACACACAGAACTTAGTTCAAAATAGTGATTGCAGTGAATGGTCCACTGACATATGATTAACGCAATGTTCTTGCTGAGTATGTAGCCTTGGTATGTACGAAAAATGAATGAAAAACTAAATGCTAGTGTGCAAGCCTTTTAGTGCCTCACCCTGAGAGGGTGGGATTGAATCCCGAATTGGATCCTACCCCCAAACTGCTATAATTTGTAAGAAGTGCAATTTCCAAGAATAGTATATGTTAATTTGACCCTTTTCTAAAATGCATTGTATATGCATAGCTTTCGGGCATTGACATCGTTTTTATGGTCAGATGGGTACACAAAGCACTTTGTTGTTTGACTTCATTTTCTGAAAAGAATTTCAGTCACCGAGCGTGTGAGGACGCTGAATTTTTCGTACTGTGGATTTGTTCACTCACTCTGAGAATGTGGGTTCCTAAACCCGGATGGGACTCACCTCAAATGTATTAGACTATGTAAGATAGTTTGATATTTATTGAGAAAGTGTAATCCTAAACATAACCTATATGTTCTGTGTTCTATGTTCTATTAAAACTGTTGTTACGTTGCTACGTGTTATCCTGGAAGTCGTTACTTCAATCTAGATATACAAGATTTGTGAAAGACATACAGCAAAGACGATGTTTTAATAATGACGTTAAAGGTTAGAGATACATTCGACCACTGACTCAATATTTTCAGAAAGAAAAGATTACAACACATTGTGCATGAACCTTTTCAAAATTATTTTCTGTTGCAGATACCAATTTAGTTACACAAAACACTAAATTGCTACACTGATAACCCGCAAGGTCGATTCCCGCAAGGTCGATTCCTGCAAGATGTACAAGTAAACCGTATGTGAATATTTCCCCATCATTAGTGTCATGACTTGTTTCCAGAAATGGGAGAATTATATTCATATATTATTTATATATTTCAGCTCCAGTTAACAAACCTGCTTCCAAATGACAAAGCTGAGTCAGCAGTTTTCCGAAGACTTCTTCATTTCAGTTTCTTGATGTTAATGTACGTCGCAGTGATCCGGAATACCCTTACACACAGAACTTAGTTCGAAATAGTGATTGCAGTGAATGGTCCACTGACATATGAGTAACGCAATGTGCTTGCTGTGTATGTAGCCTTGGTATGTACGACAAAATGAATGAAAAACTAAATGCTAGTGTGCAAGCCTTTTAGTGCCTCACCCTGAGAGGGTGGGATCGAATCCCGAATTGGATCCTACCCCCAAACTGCTTTAATTTGTAGGAAGTGCAATTTCCAAGAATAATATATGTTAATTTGACCCTTTTCTAAAATGCATTGTATATCCAAAGCTTTTGGGCACTGACATCGTTTTCCATGGTCAGATGGGACAAAGCACTCTGTTGTTTGACTTCATTTTCTGAAAAAATCTCTCAGTCACCGAGCGTGTGAGGTCGCTGGTGTGTTACTGTGGATTGTTCCTCACTCAGAGAATCTGGGTTCTAAATCCGGATGCGACTCACCTCCGCCAGTGACCACCCAGCTAACATCAGGTAACTGGGCAAATACTGGCCCAGAAAAGTCAGAAAATCAGGCCCATTTAAAGGCATTCCGGAACTGGGCTTGTACTATTTTGCACATTGGCGTTGAACTGGACCAGTACAGGCAAAGTAGTATAGCCCAGTACACAGTCGTAACGGCTGCAGATTGGCCCTTTACAGTTTGGCCGACACTGGTCCGGTTAAGTTTAATACAGTTTCTGCTATCTAAATAAAGCTGATACCAAAACAAACTCTGAAAAGAAAAGACAAAGAAAACACAAGTTTATACATGTGAGCTTAATTCATGAAACAAGATGAAAACATAATGCATTCATCATTGTCTGTGAATGACCAACTCTGTTTTGTTCTGAATGAGCCTATGCAACAAAGGTTTCAAAATTCAATTCACTTGATACAGTCCCTTTTTGAAGTACATGTATTTTCAAATTTTCATTGACTTTTGATTCAATCTTTCGACGTTTTGTCCAGTATGACACGATTAACACTACTACAATCTAGGCAATATATTGAATTTATGTTTTGAACAAGGCATGTCAACAGGATTTCCATGATTTAACAACATGGCCGTACATACTGAATGTTTCAAGATGCCCATCGAAGTTCATACTGCATGTTATGGCTCAAAATTTAGCTCATCACTTATGTTATAGCTGGATTTACACCATCCCTTCAGCCGCGCTGGCGATTGTAGGAAAATTTAGCCAACAGTTAAAATAACAAAATACTACGTTTAAAATGGTGTACGTGTATTCTCTTTTGTCTGTACTTTAATTGGCTATAAGCAGATTAGGGTTAACAGTCCAGTGCCTGCACAATTATAGTTTGTTGAAGTAAGTGGAGTTCAGTAGCCACTCACCACCAAGCTCACTAGCCGACCACACTTAACACAGTTCATAATGATTAGTCAACTTAGTTATTAAACGTAATCAAATATGACATGATCGAGGCATGGGGTTATAAAACTGCACCATCTGGTGGGATTGTGAATGTGATTATTGTGCCATATGAAACAACACATTGTGTATGAACCTGATAAGCACGATCAAAATTATTTTCGGTTGCAGGACAATGTGAAATTCCTGATCCCACAGTAGACACAATGTCGTACCTCCTCTTCGACTTCCAGGCCCGCAAGGTGCAGGACCGGGAAATCCACAACAACAAAGTATGTGAATATTCCATCATCATCGGCGTCATGACTTGTTTCAGAAATGGGAGAATTATATTCATATATTTTTATATATTTCAGCTCCAGTTAACAAATCTGCTTCCAAATGACAAAGCTGAGTCAGCAGTTTTCCGAAGACTTCTTCATTTCAGTTTCTTGGTGTTAATGTCCGTCGCAGTGATCCGGAATACCCTTACACACAGAACTTAGTTCGAAATAGTGATTGCAGTGAATGGTCCACTGACATATGAGTAACGCAATGTGCTTGCTGTGTATGTAGCCTTGGTATGTACGACAAAATGAATGAAAAACTAAATGCTAGTGTGCAAGCATTTTTGAATGCCTCACCCTGAGAGGGTGGGATTGAATCCCGAATTGGATCCTACCCCAACTGCTATAATTTGTAGGAAGTGCAATTTCCAAGAATAATATATGTTAATTTGACCCTTTTCTAAAATGCATTGTATATCCAAAGCTTTTGGGCACTGACATCGTTTTCCATGGTCAGATGGGAACACAAAGCACTCTGTTGTTTGACTTCATTTTCTGAAAAGAATCTCAGTCACCGAACGTGTGAGGTCGCTGAATTTATGTACTGTGGATTTGTTCACTCACTCTGAGAATGTGGGTTCTAAATCCGGATGGGACTCACCTCCGCAGTGACCACTCAGCTAACATCAGGTAACTGGGCAAATACTGGCCCAGAAAAGTCAGAAAATCAGGCCCATTTCAGGCATTCCGGAACTGGGCTTGTACTATTTTGCACATTGGCGTTGAACTGGACCAGTACAGGCAAAGTAGTATGGCCCAGTACACAGTCGTAACGGTTGCAGATTGGCCCTTTACAGTTTGGCCGACACTGGTCCGGTTAAGTTTAATACAGTTTCTGCTATATAAATAAAGCTGATACCAAAACAAACTCTGAAAAGAAAAAGACAACAGAAAACACAAGTTTATACATGTGAGCTTAATTCATGAAACAAGATGATAAACATAATGCATTCATCATTTTCTGTGAATGACCAACTCTGTTTTGTTCAGAATGAGCCTATGCAACAAAGGTTTCAAAATTCAATTCACTTGATACAGTCCTTTTTGAAGTACATGTATTTTCAAATTTTCATTGACTTTTGATTCAATCTTTCGACGTTTTGTCCAGTATGACACGATTAACACTACTACAATCTAGTCCAAGGCATGTCAACAGGATTTCCAGCCGGCCTGGCGCGATTCATACTGCATGTTATGGCTCAAAATTTAGCTAATCACTTATGTTATAGCTGGATTTAACAGTGGCGATAAGGAATTTAGCCAACAGTTAAAATAACAAAATACTACGTTTAAAACTGGTGTACGTGTATTCTCTTTTTGTCTGTACTTTAATTGGCTATAAGCAGATTAGGGTTAACAGTCCAGTGCCTGCACAATTATAGTTTGTTAGTAAGTGCGTGGAGTTCATAGCCACTCACCACCACCAAGCTCACTAGTTACACTTGATTAGTTAGTCAACTTAGTTATTAAACGTAATCAAATATGACATGATCGAGGCATGGGGTTATAAAACTGCACCATCTGGTGTGATTGTGAATGTGATTATTGTGCCATATGAAACAACACATTGTGTATGAACCTGTTAAGCACGATCAAAATTATTTTCGGTTGCAGGTGAAAATTATGATCCCAGACTAGACACAATGTCGTACCCCTCTTTTCGACCTCCAGGCCCGCAAGGTGCAGGACCGGGAAATCCACAACAACAAAGTATGTGAATATTCCATCATCATCGGCGTCATGACTTGTTTCAGAAATGGGAGAATTATATTCATATATTTTTTATATATTTCAGCTCCAGTTAACAAATCTGCTTCCAAATGATGAAGCTGAGTCAGCAGTTTTCCGAAGACTTCTTCATTTCAGTTTCTTGGTGTTAATGTACGTCGCAGTGATCCGGAATACCCTTACACAACAGAACTTAGTTCGAAATAGTGATTGCAGTGAATGGTCCACTGACATATGAGTAACGCAATGTGCTTGCTGTGTATGTAGCCTTGGTATGTACGACAAAATGAATGAAAAACTAAATGCTAGTGTGCAAGCATTTTAGTGCCTCACCCTGAGAGGGTGGGATTGAATCCCGAATTGGATCCTACCCCCTAACTGCTATAATTTGTAGGAAGTGCAATTTCCAAGAATAATATATGTTAATTTGACCCTTTTCTAAAATGCATTGTATATCCAAAGCTTTTGGGCACTGACATCGTTTTCCATGGTCAGATGGGTACACAAAGCACTCTGTTGTTTGACTTCATTTTCTGAAAAATCTCAGTCACCGAGCGTGTGAGGTCGCTGAATTTGTGTACTGTGGATTTGTTCACTCACTCTGAGAATGTGGGCTCTAAACCCGGATGGGACTCACCTCCGCAGTGACCACTCAGCTAACATCAGGTAACTGGGCAAATACTGGCCCAGAAAAGTCAGAAAAATCAGGCCCATTTAAGGCATTCCGGAACTGGGCTTGTACTATTTTGCACATTGGCGTTGAACTGGACCAGTACAGGCAAAGTAGTATAGCCCAGTACACAGTCGTAACGGCTGCAGATTGGCCCTTTACAGTTTGGCCGACACTGGTCCGGTTAAGTTTAATACAGTTTCTGCTATCTAAATAAAGCTGATACCAAAACAAACTCTGAAAAGAAAAGACAACAGAAAACACAAGTTTATACATGTAGAGCTTAATTCATGAAACAAGATGAAAACGATAATGCATTCATCATTGTCTGTGAATGACCAACTCTGTTTTGTTCTGAATGAGCCTATGCAACAAAGGTTTCAAAATTCAATTCACTTGGTACAGTCCTTTTTGAAGAACATGTATTTTCAAATTTTCATTGACTTTTGATTCAATCTTTCGACGTTTTGTCCAGTATGACACGATTAACACTACTCTACAATATATTGAATTTATGTTTTTGAACAAGTCAACCTGATTTAACAACATGGCCGTACATACTGAATGCAAGATTGTTCATACTGCATGTTATGAAAAAATTTAGCTAATCACTTATGTTATAGCTGGATTTACAATCAGTTGGCGATTAAAAAATAGCCAACAAAAATAACAAAAATACTACGTTTAAAATGGTGTACGTGTATTCTCTTTTTGTCTGTACTTTAATTGGCTATAAGCAGATTAGGGTTAACAGTCCAGTGCCTGCACAATTATAGTTTGTTGAAGTGAGTGGAGTTCAGTAGCCACTCACCACCAAGCTCACTAATAGCTTAGTTCATAATGATTAGTCAACTTAGTTATTAAACGTAATCAAATATGACATGATCGAGGCATGGGGATTATAAAACTGCACCATCTGGTGGGATTGTGAATGTGATTATTGTGCCATATGAAACAACACATTGTGTATGAACCTGATAAGCACGATCAAAATTATTTTTCGGTTGCAGGTGAAAATTATGATCCCAGACTAGACACAATGTCGTACCCTCCTCTTCGACTTCCAGGCCCGCAAGGTGCAGGACCGGGAAATCCACAACAACAAAGTATGTGAATATTCCATCATCATTGGCGTCATGACTTGTTTCAGAAATGGGAGAATTATATTCATATATTTTTTATATATTTCAGCTCCAGTTAACAAATTGCTTCCAAATGACGAAGCTGAGTCAGCAGTTTTCCGAAGACTTCTTCATTTCAGTTTCTTGGTGTTAATGTACGTCGCAGTGATCCGGAATACCCTTACACACAGAACTTAGTTCGAAATAGTGATTGCAGTGAATGGTCCACTGACATATGAGTAACGCAATGTGCTTGCTGTGTATGTAGCCTTTGTATGTACGACAAAATGAATGAAAAACTAAATGCTAGTGTGCAAGCATTTTGAGTGCCTCACCCTGAGAGGGGTGGGATTGAATCCCAATTGGATCCTACCCCCAACTGCTATAATTTGTAGGAAGTGCAATTTCCAAGAATAATATATGTTAATTTGACCCTTTTCTAAAATGCATTGTATATCCAAAGCTTTTGGGCACTGACATCGTTTTCCATGATCAGATGGGTACACAAAGCACTCTGTTGTTTGACTTCATTTTTCCTCACTCTGAGAATGTGGGTTCTAAACCCGGATGGGACTCACCTCCGCAGTGACCACCCAGCTAACATCAGGTAACTGGGCAAATACTGGCCCAGAAAAGTCAGAAAATCAGGCCCATTTAAGGCATTCCGGAACTGGGCTTGTACTATTTTGCACATTGGCGTTGAACTGGACCAGTACAGGCAAAGTAGTATGGCCCAGTACACAGTCGTAACGGTTGCAGATTGGCCCTTTACAGTTTGGCCGGCACTGGTCCGGTTAAGTTTAATACAGTTTCTGCTATCTAAATAAAGCTGATACCAAAACAAACTCTGAAAAGAAAAGACAACAGAAAACACAAGTTTATACATGTGAGCTTAATTCATGAAACAAGATGAAAACATAATGCATTCATCATTTTCTGTGAATGACCAACTCTGTTTTGTTCTGAATGAGCCTATGCAACAAAGGTTTCAAAATTCAATTCACTTGATATAGTCCCTTTTGAAGTACATGTATTTTCAATTTTTCAATCTGACTTTTGATTCAATCTTTCGACGTTTTGTCCAGTATGACACGATTTAACACTACTACAATCGTCCCTTCAGCCGCTGGCGATTGTAGGAAAATTTAAGCCAACAGTTAAAATAACAAAAAATACTACGTTTAAAATGGTGTACGTGTATTCTCTTTTTGTCTGTACTTTAATTGGCTATAAGCAGATTAGGGTTAACAGTCCAGTGCCTGCACAATTATAGTTTGTTGAGTAAAGTGGAGTTCAGTAGCCACTCACCACCAAGCTCACTAGCCGACCACACTTAACACAGTTCATAATGATTAGTCAACTTAGTTATTAAACGTAATCAAATATGACATGATCGAGGCATGGGGTTATAAAACTGCACCATCTGGTGGGATTGTGAATGTGATTATTGTGCCATATGAAACAGCACATTGTGTATGAACCTGTTAAGCACGATCAAAATTATTTTCGGTTGCAGGTGAAAATTATGATCCCAGACTAGACACAATGTCGTACCCTGCTTTTCGACTCCAGGCCCGCAAGGTATGTGAATATTCCATCATCATCGGCGTCATGAGTTGTTTCAGAGATGTGAGAAATATATTATTATTTTTATGTTTTTCAGCACCATTTAACAAACTTGCTTAGACGAAGCTGAGTCAGCAGTTTTCGAAGACTTCTTCATCTCATCAAAAAACCAAAAACGTCGGAACTTGAGAGGGCCATGTACACATCCTCATGTGGGTCTGACTATTAGCAGTTCTTACAAGGTTGTCTTCGGATAATGTGAAAGTCATTTAATCAGTTTGTCATCGTGTATTTTGCTGAAAGCATTAATAAATTAAATTTTTATTAATTTCGTTGTATAACAACAAAGGTGCATAAATTGGAGAATTAAAACAGTTCCGTAACCAGTGAATAAGTTTATTATTATTGAACAGGTTTTGGTTTTACAGTATGTGACTGGAGTGAGAGAGTTTAGTTTTAAGCCGCTTTTAGCAACATTCCAAAAATATCACGGCGGGGACACAAGAAATGGGCTTCACACATTCTACCCATGTAGGGAATCGAACCCGGGTCTTTGGCGAACGTATTAACCATTAGGGCTACCCCACCGTCCATTTTAGTAGGAACATAATTACATCAGCACAGCCAGACCGTGGTTCGGGTATAATGCTACACCACATAGACCGTGGTTCGGGTATAATGCTACACGAGCACAGCCAGACCGTGGTTCGGGTATAATGCTACACCAGCACAGCCAGACCGTGGTTCGGGTATAATGCTACACCAGCACAACCAGACCATGGTTCGGGTGTAATGCTACATCAGCACAGCCAGACCGTGGTTCGGGTATAATGCTACACCAGCACAGCCAGACCGTGGTTCGGGTATAATGCTACACCAGCACAGCCAGACCGTGGTTCGGGTGTAATGCTACATCAGCACAGCCAGACCGTGGTTCGGGTATAATGCTACACCAGCACAGCCAGACCGTGGTTCGGGTATAATGCTACACCAGCACAGCCAGACCGTGGTTCGGGTATAATGCTACACCAGCACAGCCAGACCGTGGTTCGGGTATAATGCTACACCAGCACAGCCAGAACCGTGGTTCGGGTATAATGCTACACCAACACAGCCAGACCGTGGTTCGGGTTATAATGCTACACCAGCACAGCCAGACCGTGGTTCGGGTATAATGCTACACCAACACAGCCAGACCATGGTTCGGGTATAATGCTACACCAGCACAGCCAGACCGTGGTTCGGGTATAATTCTACACCAGCACAGCCAGACCGTGGTTAGGGTATAATGCTACACCAACACAGCCAGACCGTGGTTCGGGTATAATGCTACACCAGCACAGCCAGACGGTGGTTCGGGTATAATGCTACACCAGCACAGCCAGACCGTGGTTCGGGTATAATGCTACACCAGCACAGCCAGGCCGTGGTTCGGGTATAATGTTACACCAGCACAGCCAGACCGTGGTTCGGGTATAATGCTACACCAGCACAGCCAGACCGATGGTTCGGGTATAATGCTACACCAGCACAGCCAGACGGTGGTTCGGGTATAATGCTACACCAGCACAGCCAGGCCAATGGTTCGGGTATAATGCTACACCAGCACAGCCAGGTCCGTGGTTCAGGGTATAATGCTAGACCAGCACAGTCAGACCGTGGTTCGGGTATAATGTTACACCAGCACAGTCAGACCGTGGTTCGGGTATAATTCTACACCAGCACAGCCAGACCGTGTTTAGGGTATAATGCTACACCAACACAGCCAGGCCGTGGTTCGGGTATAATGTTACACCAGCACAGCCAGACCGTGGTTCGGGTATAATGCTACACCAGCACAGCCAGACCGTGGTTAGGGTATAATGCTACACCAGCACAGCCAGGCCGTGGTTCAGTATAATGTTACACCAGCACAGCCAGACCGTGGTTCTGGTATAATGCTACACCAGCACAGCCAGACCGTGGTTCGGGTATAATGCTACACCAGCACAGCCAGACCGTGGTTCGGGTATAATGCTACACCAGCACAGCCAGGCCGTGGTTCGGGTATAATGCTACACCAGCACAGCCAGGTCGTGGTTCGGGTATAATGCTACACCAGCACAGCCAGACCGTGGTTCGGGTATAATGCTACACCAGCACAGCCAGACCGTGGTTCGGGTATAATGCTACACCAGCACAGCCAGGTCCGTGGTTCGGATATAATGCTACACCAGCACATCCAGGTCGTGGTTCGTGTATAATGCTACACCAGCAGAGCCAGACCGTGGTTCTATAACGCTACACCAGCAAAGCCAGACCATGGTTTCGGGTATAATGCTACACCAGCACAGCCAGACCGTGGTTCGGGTATAATGCTACACCAGCACAGCCAGACCGTGGTTCGGGTATAATGCTACACCAGCACAGCCAGACCGTGGTTCGGGTATAATGCTACACCAGCACAGCCAGAACGTGGTTCGTGTATAACGCTACACCAGCAGAGCCGCACAGAGGTTTGGGTATAATGCTACACCAGCACAGCCAGGTCGTAATTCGGGTATAATGCTACACCAACACAGCCAGACGCTGGTTCGGGTATAATGCTAAACAGGAGCAATAAATCCACAGTACATGATGTTACACAGGAGACATCAGGCATGCTTGGGGTGAGATGAGGACAGACAGGTTGTTGTAAGTATGTAAAGTTGCAGTCAGCCGGGACAGTCAGGTCGTCTGTTTTTCTTTGACTTAAAACTGGTCCACAGCAGAACTGCAGAGATGAATGATGTTTTTTACTCCTTGTCGGTTGTAACCCAACTGGCAGTTATAAAGCGGCTTTGGGAAGGTATTGCCTTTTGTTGTTTTATTTTATGGCGAATGTTTCTTATGTTACAGTGGCGTACGGCATTTTAGCGTTCTCCGATGTTTGATTAACACCGGACTGTCCCTTTATCCAGCATTTGAATGAAATGGTTGTCCCTTGTAGACAAATGTACTCTAAGTGCAATGAGTTGTGTAACCTTTGGCTTCAAACCAACTTTAAATGAATGTTGGTATGTAGGTAGGTAAAGCTTTAGGGCGACCTTGGGCCTCGGAAATCCTATATACGCCCAACACTTAACAACCTGTTATATTTATGTTCAGTAAAATTATGTCATACTTCCCCACTTGAATGAAGAAGTCTAACACAGCTCTTTGTATGCAGCCATACATTATATTATCGCCAAGTATTGTGTTCATTGTAAAAATGTTTTTAGTTTTGTTAAGCACAGTTCCTTTAAGAGCCTGGCGTGGTGTTTCATGACCTGGACATTCAATGAGATAGTGCTGAACTGTTTCTGGGCAGTGTAATCAATTTCTTGTGTTGATGGCAGAGTTATCTCCTGTACACGGAAGGTAATAAAATAGCAAAATATCACAGTCATTGGGTTTGTGACTAGTGTCATGTGTGAATGACACTCAATTTCAGTTAACGCATTCATTCGTCACGCCGAAGGCCAGGGTTCGATTCCCCACGTGGACACACTGTTAGAAGCCTCTTTGCTGGTATGCCTCGGCGAGTGAGTGAGTATGTTTTACGGCTTTTTTTAGCAAAAACACCTGAAATGGACTTCACACAGTGTACCAATATGGTTAATAGAACCCGGGCCTTCGGCGTGACAAGCCAACGCTTTAACCACTAGGCTGCCCCATTACCCTGGGCTGGGGGTAGCGTAGTAGTTAAAGCCACTCACGGCCCGGTTCGATTCTCCCATGGGTACAATATGTGAAGCCATTTCTGGTGTCCCCGCCGTGATATAGCTGGAATATTGCTAAAGCGGCGTAAAACTAAACTCACTCACTCCACTCATTACCCCTGATCATATAATATAAGATAAGATACACCTTGAAAGGTTATTTTATTAGATATCAGGAAAGGTTATTTTATTAGATATCAGGCAGCATAAAACATTGAAAGCAAGACATTTATGGTTATTTGTTTCAGCACATCTTATATTTAGCACTTTTTTAAACTTTAATAAAGCAGATCATCTTTGCAAAGAAAAGCCCTCTCTCTCTCTCACATGGAACTGAAGGCATGTCCCCGTGAAAGGCTTGTTGCTGTGACCGCCGAGGCACTCTGGTCGACCTCAAGCTCACCACGTCTTGGCTCATCCTCAGGACAGCCACATAGCCATCGACGTCGGAGAAACACGGCGTCCCCGAACTTGACCAGTGACCACGGTAAGATGGACGCAATGAGCAGCTCGTGGAGAAGGAGCTGTTTGGATGTCCACTGTCGGCGTCCTTCCTCAGAGACGGGCATGTCTGGGGACATGAAGCAGGAAGTTTAATCGTTAGAAGGTAACTGTCCTTTCAATTGGAAGTGAAACGATACATATTTGCACTGGCGTATCGTGAGATTTTAGGCGACGATACGATACACAAGGAAGTTTTTACTATAGCTTACTCATTCGAAGCCTCCAAATGTCTTTGTTAGAGAAGTATTGATACTCAACAAATCTCCACACAATGTAACAAAAAATGTTAACACGATACGCATCGTATAGTGACCAGTGTATCGTGATACTGTGGTACAGTGACCTATTTATCGTGATACTATCGTATAGTGACCTGAATATCATGATACGGATCGTATCGTGACCTATGGATCGTGATACTGTCGTATCGTGATACTATCGTATATTGACCTATGTATCATGATACTATCGTATCGTGACCTATATATCGTAATACTATCGTACAGAGACCCGTGTATCGTGATACTACCGTATCGTGACCTAGGTATCGTGGTACTATCGTTTCGTGACCTATGTATCGTGATACGTATCGTATCGTGACCTAGATAGCGTAATACTTTCGTAGATTGACCTATATATCGTGACACCTATTATATCGTGACCTAGATATCGTGATACTATCGTATCGTGATCCTATGTATCGCGATACTTTGTGAATCTTATCGTATCGTGACCTAGATATCGTAATACGTATCGTATAGTAATGACCTTTGTATCATGATACTATCATATAGTGACCTATGTTTTGTGATACGTATCGTATCGTAACCTATGTATCGTAATACGTATCAAGTATATCTGATCTAGTATACCGTGATACGTATCAACATTATGTACCATGATACGTATCGTATATATCTGACTTTATATATCGTGACACTATGGTATAGTGACTTAGGTATCGTGATACTATATATAACGAAAACAAGAAACAACATTATATATCTGAGAGCAGTATAACGAAAACAAGAAACGACTGTGATTAACTAAAGACACTGCAGTATTTCAATAAACAGTACAAGAAAGAACATGACCAGTATGTCAGATTGACAGTGAATAATTGAACCACAATTGACGCGAAGACTGACAGTGAGTAATTCAACAACTTCCACCTCATATACCACATTTAACGCTTCTACAGTAGCCAGATTGAGACCTGATATCGCATTTCCTCGAGTGCGAGACGGCTGTGAGACTGAATGTTAAGTGTTCGCTTCCGAAACAGAGAGACAGCGACACCGACAATCACATCTTAGCCCGTAGGGCCTCACAGCTTTAACATAGTTACTAGTGGGTCCCACCCACCAGTGAACGACACTGGGTGCCGTTGCACAAAGCGATCGTAAACTCCGTACGTTTACACAGACCTTCGACGGTCGCATCGCAAAGGTTGTTTTGGCACAACGGCACCCAAGAGATTAAGTTTCTTGATCCCAAAACGTAGATACGGTATATCAAGCACGGTTGTGCATTTGTCTAACGTCATCTCTGTGGAAACGCCGCCGTTATATTGCTGGGATGTTGCTGTGGGCGGCGTATAACTAAACTCACTCACTCACTCTGTCGAAACAATTTGAAATATGCTGATACACAGTGAACCAAGCAAAACAGTTCGCTGTGGTAGGTTGCGTCCCTTAGAAGTGTTCGGATCCAATTGTGGACCTCGCTTTTGCAAGACCGTACCCGCGCACATGGGAACTAAGTGGTAAAAGGCATTTCAATTTTCACTCAATGCACCATGCCTACCCACATGGATGTTACTAAAATGTGAGACATCTACCCCACTTTGCAACGGATAAGGGCGGCGGGGTAGCCTGGTGGTTATAGTGTTCGAAGACCTGGGTGCGATTCCCCACAGGAACACTGTGTGGTATACGACCGTTGTGCTGACATACCTACAAGCAATACAAGGGTGGACCGGGATTCGAACCCACAGTCACAGGTTCCTGGTGTGTCCAAGGGACGCAATTGCGTGAGAAAACTGGTAATCCGTGACCCAATTGCCACAACAAAGGCCAAGAGTAAAGCATTTCTTACCGTAGTGCTTGCCGTTACCTATTGTCCAAGGCCATGTGGTCGAAAACGTAGACTTGACCCATATTTCCACCGACTTCACGCTCGGGAAGAGTTATCCATTATCTTCAACCGCACCTGTACAATTGTACATGTGGTTCTTTATTGGCACATGAATATAGTCTGCTATCCAGACTGAAACAAATATACCCAATCCAGACCCTGCAAGCCTAGAATATGTGGCAAGTCTAGATTATCACTGCTTCATGGGGTGATTTCTAATGTTTGATGGGGCGGTGGGGTAGCCTAGTGGTTAAAGCGTCCACTCGTCACGTCGAAGTCCTGAGTTCGATTCTCCGCATGGATACAATGTGTGAAGCCCATTCATGTTGTCCCAAACCGTGATATTGCTAGAATATTGATAAAAAGCGGCGTAAAACTAAACTCACTCACTACCTAACGTTTGAATTCAGGGGTAATCCCGTCAGTGGTAAAAATCTTTACTGGTGTTGTGAAATTCCAAACAATCGTAGCTCTGCAAATTTGTTTGGTCTCTGAAAATAAGGAAAGTCTGTGGGCTCTTTTTTAATACTTATTTTGTAGTTTTTAAATTATGAATATAATGAGGAACCGTTTTTTCTATAAAAAATGCCCATTTCAGAGACAAGATGTCAGGCTAGTATGAATACATCACATAATGCTATCCGTAATGTTTCAGCAACATCACAACAACTTATAAATGACCGAGTCGCCCGTCAAGACCGAGTCTTCAGCAACCCATGCTTGTCGCAAGGGGCGATTGACATGATTGGGTGGTCAGACTTGCTGACTAGGTTGACACGTCATCGTATCCTAGTTTGGGGTGGAAACAAATCACGTGTCACCGATTGAGTGAGTGAGTCGGTTAGGGTTTAAAGCCGTTTTGACCAGTATCCAGCTATAGCACGGCGTGTCTGTTTTTTTGTGGGAGTAAAACCCGAAGCGATGTTGGTCTCAGACATTCAGCACTTTGGAGACACCCACGATCGCGGTTTGATGCTTGCAAACCTAAAACTATATTTGGGGCTACCGGGATTCGAACCTACGATCATGTTTTCTGGCGTCCTCAAGGGACACAGATGAGCACGGTGTGTGGCGGCGCGGGCATATTGAATGTACAGAACCCGTATCTTCGGCATGACTAGCGAGGTGAGGTGAGGTGAAATTGGGTTTTACGTCGTGCTTGAGAATGTTTCGCTCATATGACGACGTGCATGCGTGTGTATGTGTATGTGCGGCAGCTTGTGCTAGCCCAGACTTAAGCTGGTTTTATAGTGCTATCCCACTGAGATACCATGCCGCAGTGAAGCAGGAATACCCCACTCAAACACATTATACTGACTCCGAGCCGACCATTCCTTGTTGTACCCATTAATGCCGAGCGCCAGGCAGGGACCAACAAGTACCATATTTTAACGTCTTTTGGTATGACGCGGTCGGGGATCGAACCCGCGACCTTCCGCTCTCCGGGCGGACGCTCTAACCACTACACCACGGAAGCGGTCATGACGAGCGAGCGCTGCAGCCATTACACTACCCTATTTATCACTCAAAGTATACAACTTCTCTTTGCTTTAATTCCTACATGATACCTATGAAGATCCGGGTTACAATTGGTCTTCAGTAAACCTCGCTTGTCGTGAAAGGCGACTATCAGGATTGGGTGGTCAGGATCGCTGACTTGGTTGACACATGTCATCGTATCCCAGTTGCGTAGATCGACGTTCATGCTGTTGATCACTGGATTGTCTGGTTGCGCACAGACCGCCGCCATTTAGCTGGAATATTGCTAAGTGCGGCGTTAAACAACAAACAAACATAATACAGTCAACTCTCGTTAATCCGACACTTGTGGCTGCAGACAAATATGTCGGATTAATGTATTTGTGTGAAAATATCAATGTTTACTAAATGTCACGATCGTCATACTGTTGCATGCATATCAGAAATAGTAGATCTAGTTACATACATGAGTTGTCACTGTCAGTCAGTATCATGTTCTGCGCAGGAGTTGTGGCGTAGTTCCCCGCCAGGAAGGAAAGGCCGGCCAACAAGATAAACGTCCGTTCAGGAGGGCGGAGCATGTTCGATAGCCTCATCTGTCAAAAATACAAATGATTCACTCACATCTATTTACGTTCACACAAATACTTAAAACAAACAAATATGAATGAATACAACTAGTTTCATATCGACACAGCGGGTAGTACAGTATACACTTAAACATATTCTACAGTTTACATGTATACACAATGTTCCCATCGTCGAATGACATTCTCTTATCGGCTTTGGCAATATTGCTGTGTGCATACAAACAAACAAATGCTCAAGCTAATAGATGTCGATGATATATATAATGTGTTGCCCTGGACTTTCTTAAAGCTAGAATGGTCTTTCATGAATATTCATCAGTGGGCTAACAAACAAACAAAATACAAACTAGATGTCGAGACCATTCTAGCTTTAAGGTCACAACACACGTGCTTGTAGTTTCTTTACACAAGGTGGCAGAACAAAGACAGCAAGGATGTTTGTTTGTTTGTTGTTTAACGCCGCAATCAGCAATATTCCAGCTATATGGCGGCGGTAAGTAGATTATCAAATCTGGACCTGACAATCCAGTGATCAACATCATGAGTATGGATCTACGCAATTGGGATTCAATGACATGTGTCAACCAAGTCAGCGATCCTGACCACCCGATCCTGTTAGTCGCCTCTTACGACAAGCATGGGTTACTGAAGATCAATACTAACCCGGATCTTCACGGGTCGCCTCTTGGAAACAGCAGATGTTCATAGGCCCAATTGCAAACCGAAATCTCATGGGTTCTTTTATTATCAAGACAGTCAGCATGCATCAAGAGAGCTCGATATACCCGACTTCATAAATATCGTACGAGCACCTGTGCAAATATATGCTTAAGTGTGAAACTGAGATTTCAGAGTCTGAGAAACGTGATACTTTCGTTGCAGTGACAGAAATTTGATATGTTGACTGCAGAGAAAATATCACTTTGCCGGAAAACCGTTGTGGCTCAACACAGTTTTCTATCCAGAATCTTGTCACACAACACAAAATATATGCATTATTGAATGCATATAATAGATAGAATATTTCAAGTGGCTTGGCAAACATGATCTATCTGTTATTTCGTGATCTATGCCACTCGAGAGAATGTCACGTTTTTCACGTCACTTGATGACAGATAAATCATATTTCACTACACGCATGAAATATCCTCCATTTCCGTCATCCGGGCGGCATTATTGGCGTCATTCAAATCTTGGTGTGACGTTATGTCGGAATGACGCCAAAGCTGGAGATTTGGTTTTCTAAGACGAGGCCGTGATAGCATTTTCCTAAAGAGGAGCTCAATGAGATAAAGAAAATATTGGGCAGTAAAGAAATTATTACACTCGCATGCATGTATGTCATACTGATGTTACACTTGTCGGAGGGGTATACAAAGTACGTGATCGTGATCGAGACTACCAGTTGTCACACTTCCATTTTGGGGGATCGGTGAAATCGCTGAAATTGTCTGGCGATAAGGTGCCTCACTCTGAGAGTGCGGGCCCCAATCCCGTATAGAACTCAACCCCAAAAGACACTAGAATCTGGACTTTTGGTAAAAGCGGCGTAAAACCATACTCACTCACTCACTTACCATATATCGTTGTACTTGACGGGGAAAGCGTAATCCCAAATATACTTCCCATCAAAAGTTTAGACTAACTTAAAACACGTACTCACTATATCAATATATATATGTGGTTACATCGAAGATTGATTTCTCCATTAACTTGGGGGAACCAAGTGCACAGTTTATGCAATTACTTGTTTGGTAAAAGACAATATGACACACACTCTCGTACAGTATTCTTTATATGCATTATAGTTGCTGTTGACAGATCCCAAGATATACGCCTACTAGAAAAGTGACATAAGCTCTCGAGTTATACGCCTAAATATAACTGTTATAAAGACCGATTTGAAAGGCTGATTTTGTATTGACATAGACTGTTTAGATGTTGTGACTTGTAGCGTATCAATAGCCTCCACAATAGGGAAAGACGAAATAATGCAGGCAGACAGACAGATACTATTTATATATCTTGGACATGAGAATACAGTGGTACCATACAATACAATACAGTGGTACAATACAATACAATACAATAGTGATACAGTCACCCTGTAAGAGTAACAATCACACGTTAATCGTTTATCGTTCTGGCGTTCCTTAAAATGAGACATTATTTTGCAAAATATTTCTAATTTCCTAATTGTTCCTAATTTACTAGAGTGAAAAAGCTGAATTATCGGGTTTCTACAGTAGTAGTTGTTGATATATATACATATATTTTTCCATGAAGGACAAGTAAATAAATATGGAGACGTATTACCTCTATGAAAGATATGCACTTACGTCAGGCATGAATGATCTAGTAGGGAGAAATCGTTATGATACAGTAAACTCCAATATAGATAGATTTAATGAAAGGCATTAAGGATTTCTACTTTTTAAAACAATAAACGTTCACATAATTGATTACGAAGCATGTTAGCTCAAAATAAATAGAGTTTAGTATAGATCTAAGCTACTTGATAACATTCGCACTCCAATGGCGGCCACTATCCTTAGAAAGTCCAGTGAACCAGTCCCACAGGCAAATATGAACCTAACATTAAACATGTCCCCTATCTAAACTGATGTGTTCAAAACGAAATCTAAAACAATTCACCGTACCTTATATCAGGGTTCCTCTCCGTAGGTGATGTAATCGAAACGATTAAGCTTGTGTTGACGTCTGTAGTTGACGTCTGCTCAGTGAATTGTAAAACAGTTGTATATAGTAACGCAATGGTCACGTGACGAGTGTACATGTACACAGGAGGAAATAGTTTCGAAGGTCGCGATGATCGTATTTTAATTACGTCTTTGAATGACATTTAGAAGTGATACACATGAGGTAGAGAGTTTCTAACGGATGTCAACTTCTTTATCATGAGGAACACAACGATTCGGAGTGCATCCTTACTCCTTCATCAGGTGAATTCACTGATGAAGAAGTACGGATATACCCCGAATTAAACTCTCTTCCGTGATATAATTCCTATAATAATCTATGGGAGGGGCGGAGGTGGTAGCCCAGTGGTTAAAGAGTTTGCTCGTCACGCCGAAGACCATGGATCGATTCTAAACATTGGCACAATGTATGAAAACCATTTCTGGTGTCCCCCACCGTGATATTGCTGGAATATTGTTAAAAGCGACGTAAAACTAAACTTACTCACAATCTACAGGAGATACAATTACCTCAGCGCTATGATCGCTTTGTGGAATGAGTGCCGATGAAATAGTCGGCCAGGACGAAACAAACCTATGTAATAATTTGATGACTTTATACAACATATAACAGTGTCTACTTTTCAAACCGCCAAAGCATTTGCACTTTAAGTTACACTATGGGTTAGTAAATTTAAAATTCTACTACATTCATTATCGGGGTCGTCTTAACAACATTATTGCTCCCGGTAAAGCATTTGCTTTGGGGCCGTGCTATAATATAGTCTGTTTCATGTCATCTAATTATATATATTTTATTAAAAATAAGTTCATATCATATATGGCTGTAGTGTTGGTTATGACTGCTATCTGACTGACAAAAACAAATCAAGCTCGGAATAAATACTTTAACTGACTGCAAGATATAGTCCGTTTTGGCTTAATTGATCGATGAATTGCAATCTAACTCGAAAATAATAATATATAATACTCAATAAAACGCTGATCATAATCAAAACATCAGACCAACTTGTGAATTTTACAAACTGTCACTAAAGTTTGACACGTTCACGATTTGTTACGAGGGAGGAGTGCAAGAGAGGAACAGCCAGGTGTACGAGAGGCACGTGCACAAGTGCCGACAAAGTTATTGATTCATTACCCTGTGCTGTGCTGTCTCCACTTTCTCGCACACCTGGCTGTTCTTCTCTTTGCACTCCTCCCTCGTAACAAACAGTGAACTGTGCAAATATTTTAATGAGAGTTTGTAAAACAACTTTTTTGATTTTTAGGACATTAATTCTGCAAAAAATTCACATAGTTCGTCTGATGTTTTAATTATGAACAGTGTTTCATTGAGTATTATATGTTTAGTAGTTTTCGAGTTTGATTGCAATTCATCAGTCCGTTTTTGAGCCATGCAATGCAACAGTGTTATTCATTGTGTTACAACGTCCCATGTGTATCACATTGTACATGTTGTCAATCAGTAAGGGGTAGTGATGTGGTCTGCTTTCGGACTTGATGCAGAAAACTTGAAAAGTCTGGTAACCAGGATTGAGTGAGTGAGTGAGTACGTGCGTGCGTGCTCATTCACTCACTCACGCACCTTTTAGCAATAGTCCAGCAAAAATCGAGGCGGGGGACACCAGAAATGGGCTTCACACGTTGTACCCATGTGGGGAATCGAACCTGGGTCTTCGGCGTGAGGAGCCAACGCCTTAACCACTAGGCTACCCCACCGCCCCACACGGAATATAGCTAAAATCGGCGTAAAACCTCACTCACACTTTGTTGAAGTGACCTGTGTAAATACTTCGAGTTATCCGAGGTTCGTCACAACCGTACAATGACGACTAAATAGAAAAAACGCAGGATACAGACTCGACTACTGTTACTACTTTTCGACACAGCGGCAAAGGCAACAAACTCGAATTCTTCGTTTGTTTTGTGGACTAACGCTTAGTCTCTCAAATTATATAGTTTAGAAAGAAACATAACTATTTAGGTTCATGGTTGTATATGTTCCCGAGTGAGAGGCGAGATTTAGACCTGAACCTGAGGAAAACCAAAACTTGTTTCATTTTTGGCAATAGGTTTTCAGAAAGGCTGACAGGAAGGAAAATATTATGGTTCGGGGACTAAGAGATTTTGTATGTTTGTTGATTTACGACGCACTCGGGAATATTCCAGCGGTCTCTAAATAATTCAGTCTGGACCAGACAACAGAGTGATCGGCATCATGAGCATCGATCTGAGCTGTTGTGATACGATGACATGTGTCGACCAAGTCAGTGAGCTTGACCACCCGATCCCGTTACTTGTCTCTCACATGCATGGGTTACTGAAGATCAATTCTAACCCGGATTCTTCACGGGATTTGTGTTTGGACCCATGGCGTTTAGAGCGAGCGAGTGAGTGAGTGAGTATGGTTTTACGCCGCTTTAGCAATATTCCAACAATATCACGGCGGCGGACAACAAAAATGTGCTTCACACATTGTACCCATATGGGGAATCGAACCCGGGTATTAAGCGTCATGAGCGGACGCTTTAACCACTAGGCTGGTTTAAAAAAAACTATACATCGCTGAAAGAAAGGTTTGTATGTATTCAAACATTTGTGAGGGCAAAAGAGTATAAAGATATTAATGTAAGACGGTATCAGATGGGGACTGTGCAAGGCAAGAACAAAATCACGGCGACTTACGGAAACTGTTAGATTAGACAGTAATCTCCAAATTGCAGCTACATCCTGTTGGTGTCGGAAAATTACAGCATAGAAGAGCAACGACAGAAGATGAATTCTAACCCGGATATTCACGGGTCCATGACGAATAGTAATGCATACACAACTTGCGAAATGCTACACCCGATCCCTGCCGGCTTATGATTCTTTTAAAATACAGAGTACATCACAATAGCGATAATACGGTGTGGTTGTATAGTGAGATCATTTAAACATTTGGGTTCTCTTTAAAAATATAGCAATACTTTTTATCAATGATAAGTCTCTGCATGCTAATAACTTACCGAATTTCATCCTTGTGGGACTATTGATATAAAAGGAAGGTACATACAAGTTTCTAAGAGTCTCATAACATGGACAGATAAGAGTAATATGATATTCATCTTGTATCTCATGTAAACAACAACGTGTGTAGGTTATATCATTTATGTTATAATTGTTACATTAACTATACTTCTGGACTTTGAGATTATGAGACTGACATCTTAATTTAACAAACAGCCATAATACATCTTTAGGTAAAATATCTGAAAACATGTATGATTCAGCTTCCAATGGAGTTTTAATGGATTTATAGAAGGAAAGATAATGAGACTTGTTTAGTCTTGTATACCAGTCTTGAACATTTATCTCAATACAGTTTTTAAAATGTGGACATAAATAGAGAAATATCGCCACTCTTGATTTATCCACACATATGAGAAACCTGTTGTGAATAATAGTGTACGTACATGGGAGACCCAATTCTGGCTACCATTTTCATCATGTTGCTTTAACATTTGATAGCATGCTGCAGGATATCGTGAAGGGTGTAACGGATTAACCGACACCAATATATCTAATACAATTGCCATAGTATCTTACACACAGATTGTATCTGCCAGTATCACCCAAAACAGCTATAGTAGAAGATTTCTTACTGATTGATAAATATTTCTGAATGAAGTTATTTTGAACCTTTTCTATTCAATCTCTGAGACAGGATTCCCAAATTTCACTGCCACGTAAGGCTATGGGAGCTATTTTTGTATCAAATATTTTTATGATAGTTTTAAAGCCAATATTTGGATAGTTACGTAACAAACGATAAATCGGGAAACATGCACGTTGTGCTTGTAAAGCTATTTTTTCACAACTTTTAGACCAGATTAAACGAGATGAGAAAATGACTCCCAAGTATTTATAGTATGTTGTAGCAACAATTTCCTTTCTGATCTTCTTAAGTACCCTCCATTTCTGAAAACTATAACATTTGATTTCTCAAGATTAACTTGAAAACCCCACATTATACAAAACTGCTCTAATATATCTTTCTTTGTAAGTCAATTGGCGAGTCTGCCACCAGGACTACATCGTCTACAAACAATAGTATTCTAATTACCTCAATGCAGTCATTTACAAATATACCAGTACTGTTACTTTCATTAAGTTCTTTCACAAACTGATTTATAAAGAAGATAAACAGAAGCGGACTGAGCATACAACCCTGCCTAACTCCAACGGAAGTGTTGAACGACTGTGTTCTCCATCGACCTGTGTTGAATATAGGACAACACATTAGAATACATACTTGCCAACACCTTATAGATCTAACCATGGACACCGTTTTTCCACAGATGTAACATTTTCCTTCTGCTTACAAAATCAAAAGCTTTTTTGAAATGTATAAAAGCCACGTAGAAGCGGTGTTTAGGTTTAACCATAACCTACCTGTTGAAGTTGGCCGTTGGCATGGCATTGATTATGAAAACGGAACCTGCAAGTCAGTGTAAATCACCTGCTGTAGCAGATGAATTTCATTATGTATTTAAATGTGAAGCTTTTACTAAACAAAGAAAGAAATACATTCCCATTAAATCGTATCTTTCCCTAATCTAATAACTTATAAAAACATATTCCTGAAGCAAAACCTTGCACAAAGAAAGCATTTGGCAAAATACCTAAACTTAGTGGAAAAGTGTGAAAAGGACTAAATGTTTATATTGTAAACTGTAGCTATGCTGTATTTATATTATAAAACTATAATTGTACTTTCTGCCATCTTGCCTGTATGTATATGTATTGCAAATGTTTATAATGTTTTCTCTTGTACCACCAAGAGTGGTTCTTTTGAGAATAAAAGAGTTTGAGTTTGAGTTAAATATAAGAACGTTTTACAAACAACACAATACATAAATTGAACAAAGTTTGTTTATTCAAATATACATACTATATTCAGCATTCTTACAACATGCAAAACATAATTCAGGTTGAGGAAACTACCCTTGGGATCTTCATATTAAACTTGTTATGTATAATTAAATACAACTGTCATTCATATTAAACTTACATGAAGCATAGGTTCTTTGCCCTTAAGAGAATATGTTGAAACCTTTACGGTAATTACTGGTATAATATCACATCAGAGCAAAACACTCATATATTCATTCAGTACATATCTGATGGGTTCAACCTAACTATGCGTGGTCTGGTGCATAGAGCTCAGGTCACAAATCAGTTGAAGTTAACCAGGTTGGGGCCGGGAAGTTATCCCTTGGGTGACGGTGTTTGGCAGCTAGACTCATGGGAGTTTCTAGGACATGAGTCCTGTCCTACGCGAAGCACATTGAGACATGTGGTCTCACCTTAGGCAAGTGAGTTTGTTCAAAATTGCCTCATCATCTAGCAGAATATGGGTACCGGGTGGGATAAGTCATGCAACCATAACTTTCGAGGGCTTCACAGGCAGCTTGGGTTATTCGGGATAATTATAATCAGATTGTTTGGGCGCTTTGAGCATGCATTGTGCATGGAGAAATGCGCATGATAAATGGACCATTATTACTATTACTAACTTTGAAAAGTATTTCAGTCACACCATGTTTGCTTTATGTGGGCAGACAGCCCAAAGTGATCCAGGTCTTATGCCATTTTGTAACAATATTTGTCCCGTACTCTTGTGAGAGTTATTCAAACAAGTCAAAATACGACCAGATAATCTGATTATGTCCATGAGAATTGCCGACCTATGCAGATTGTACGCCGTTCATCTGCGTTTAAAAGCCGACCCTATGATTAATCAAATGGTAGCGAGCAGACAGCAGGAAGAGCATGGACAACCAGCAGAAGGCAAGCCAGGGCCAAGGTGAGTGAGTCAGTGAGTTTAGTTTTACGCCGCACTCAGCAATATCCCAGCTATATGTCGGCGGTCTGTAAATAATCGAGTCTGGACCAGACAATGCAGTGATCAACAGCATGAGCATCGATCTGCGCGCCATTGGGAACCGATGACATGTGTCAACAAGTCAGCGAAACTGACCACCCGATCCCGTTAGTTGCCTCTTACGACAAGCATAGTCGCTTTTTATGGCAAGCACATGGGTTGCTGAAGACCTATTCTACCCCGGATGCCAGGGCCAAGGAGGGAGGGACACTGACCAGCCAATCTAGCCCATATGCTGCCCAGGTGTCAGCTTGACTTTGCTGCCTTCCCTTGGTAGCCCCCGCCTCACTGTGTAAATTGTTCACACTACCTCACATAGTTGTACAGCGAGAATGAAAACAAACAAGAATGAATGAGTGCCATTTGTTGTAGGACACTAATTATACATTATGTTTGAAGGGTGCCAGAGGTGTTACAATATACAGTTTTGCAAACAACATGGCTATAATTGAGACGAAATCAAGAATCATAATCAGGGGCAACCCCTGATCATGGGATGCTGGCATAAGTAAGGGAGGTAACTCTCCACAGCTGTACATAAATGTTATGAATTACAAAGGATGATATATGTCACAAAAGAATAATCATCTTCTGCTCAGAAACACAAAGCTATCAACATGGGCTTGTCTTTGTTAAACAATAAACTTCACCTAAATACTTGTAATAGATCGTTTCACAAAACCCAAGGATGTGATCTATTTGCAATCTCATCCAAACATGCATCTGTGTTAACTAGATGCGCAGTAATGTATCATGAAGCATTTAAACATGTACTCTCTGTATTGATCAAAACTTTCCATCTGTTGTACAAAAATATTACCTAAACTATCAAACATTGTGAAAAATATTTGGCTTCACAAAGGTTTCTTAAACAAAACTATTAAGCATTCTTAATGTGATTGTCTGTCAAAAGTAACAAAAAATCTATGCAGCACACTGCCAATGGTTCAGCTGAAAGATTATCTCTTCAAAATCAGACATTTTTCTCTGATGTGATACCTTTCTGCATGCAGATCTGATACACCTCCAAGGTGAATTTGAGTGAACCTATGGTGAGTGAGTGAGTGAGTTTGATTTACGCCGGTTTTAGCAATATTCCAGCAATATCACGGTGCTGGGGACACCAAAATGGAAGCTTCACACATTTTGCCCATGTGGGGAATCGAACCCGGGTCTTCGGCATGATGAGCTTAACGCTTTAACCACTAGGCTACCCCACCGCCCCAGTGAACCTATGAAGGACCGGGTTAGAATTGGTCTTCAGTAACCCACACTTGTTGTTAGAGGCGACTAACGGGATCGGGTGGTCATCGTATCCCCGTTGCATAGATCGATGCACATTATGTTCATCACTGGATTGTGTGGTCCAGACTATTATTTACAGACCGCTGCCATTTAGATGGAATATTGCTGAGTGTGGCGTTAAACAACAAACCAAATGAGTGAACCTTAACCACCCATCTTTACAGTCTAAGTAAACTTAGACTCAGTATTATTCGTTACACTGCTATACTGAGTCTAACAACACCTTAATGGAAGGTCGCGTCAGGTAACCTTTGAAGCGACCTATGACCGTCAATCAAAGGCGAGACGGCCAAACAGATTTAACCAATCAGACAACGGCTACTATTTAGGGTTTGGCGGGACTTACAAAATGGATTTTCGTCCGCGGTCGCCAACACTGATCTCCCAACAAATGAAAATCTGCATAAAACACTGATATTTGACCTGCAGTATATAAGCTTTGGAGTTCCTGTTGACATGGTTATAATTAGCTAATATTTTCCGCAAGTTGACATGCTTTAATACTGACAAAGCGCCATTTTCAGCGAATGTTTACTCACTGCTGTGGTGTGCATCACTAGGAACCCGATCGCATGCGGAAAATAGCATTGAATGCGTTCAGGTACAAACTTTTCGAGGGAAAAGTTCAAAGGTATGTCTTGAATATCCACTTTGTGATTTGGTAAGCTGTGTTCTGATTGGTCAATTGGAAAGGTTACCTGACACGACCTTCCACAAAGGTTTTGTTAGACTCAGTATAGCAGTAGTATGTGAAATAATACTGAGTCTAAGCCACTTTAGAGACCGCCCATCTTAATGAAGGATGTGTGGGGTCTGGAGCCAATTGGTGGACTTTCTAAAACAATTCAGCATCCTTCATCAAATCGCTAATCGTAATTTTATCGAAGCAAAACCTTTTGGCCTAACTCTGCAGTCAGCAATATTCCATCTATATGACAGCGAGTATGTAGATATCCAGGTCTAGAAAAGAGAATCCAGGGATTGACATCATGACCACCATTGATTGATTGATTGATTGATTCCTCACTCAGCAATATTCCAGCTATCATGGCTATCAATCTATGCAGCTGGGATATGATGCATCAACCACCAGATCCCATCAGTCGTCTCTTAAGACAAGCATGGGTTGCTGAAGCTTAGTTCTAACCCAGATCTTCATGGGCTGTAAGTAATAGAGATTAGCAACACACACGTTCACTATTGACAGTGTTAACCATGGGGGTAGAGATGCTATGTGGTACAAAACTACATGGTGTAGAAAAAATCTACATCATCACACAACAGCTTTTCTTTACTGCATTTGGACCTGTACAGTATATATCTATGTTCACACTTCAGAAATCAGATACGCTGGTCTGAATGCTTTCTTTACTAATCATCACGAATTTTGACAACGACATTAATAGAATCTATGTCGAAACATCGCCTCCACAGAATAAAAGAAGTTGTATATCCATAATAATTGTCATTATTCTTCATCAACTCAACTTTTAAAATGCCTATCAAAGAAGAATTTTGAAGCCTGACTACTTTCACCTATCATGGTGTGACCAGATCTTCCTACAGAGCTGTATCACAATAGAGTGGAACATTTAACGAGATTTAATGGAATCTGCAATCCACCAACAAATGCATAACCTTCACAATCACCTAAGGGAGACAACTCACCACATTATGCTGCAAACACAGAACAGCTGTCTCACAAAACAATGTTTGAAATGAAAATGTTAATCTTGTAATATGAAGTTAGAATGTTTGCCATTCATCATACGCAACAGTGGCGGACAACACATCCAACATAACCACATGATGATATTTGATTTACTGGCACAGGATGTATTGGTCACATAATGCTTGCACGTTAGCCATGTTATCAGCTGATGCCGATCGTGACACTCTCCTCCCTATTTGATGTCAGCTCTTGGCACGTGACGTGGAGAGTTCCCTCTCTGAAATGACAGATTGAACTTTCAGTAATAATCACATATTCAATATCTTCAGTGGTGTATCGCTAAGGCAATGCAGCATTGTATTGTGATGCAAGGTTAAACTGATTTACAGTGAGTCAGTATGTTTTTACGCTGCTTTTAGCAATATTCCAGCGACATCATGATGGTGGACACCAGAAATGCGCTTCACACATTGTAGCCATGTGGGAACTGAACCTGTGCCTTTGGTATGATGAGCGAATACTTTAACCACAAGGCTAGCTCGCTATCCCAAACTGATTTACAATACCAGTGTCGCACTACATACAATGCATTACCATACGAGTCATATCAATGTAAAAATATGTGTAACACAACAGAAAGTGTTCAAGTACAGATAGATTCTGTAGTATTTCGTGGATGGCTACATATCTGTGCAGTACCCCAGCTGTTATCTTCTCCCCTACAATATCAAACCTGGTTGTGAGACTTCAAAACAAATGATTCAGGGTTGTGACAAACAGGCAGGAAGGGAGATAATCTGAACTTTTGAAACAAAAGTCATCAGAAGATGACAAATCCCCCCGGCCCCCACATCTTTGAAAGAACAAATCATCTGACAGTTACTTAAAGTCCAGCTTGATGTCTTTTTAGACTAAGTCCAAAACGTTTCCATGGAGACCAATAAAAATAAAAATACCAAAAAACCTGCAGCAAATAGCAAAAGGCACCACTTTAGCTTATGTTTGATATATCTACCACATTTTGTTGAAAGATATTGAATGGTTTTCGAGTTGTGCTCCGGAAATGAAACACACCTGCAAAAAGCAAAAGGCACCACCTTAGGTTCTGTTTGATATATCTACCAAATTTAAAAAAAATAAATATTGAACGGTTTTTGAGTTATGCTCTGGAAACAAAATGATTATGGACGGACGGATGGACGGACAGACGAACGAGGCGATGACTATATACTCCCGAATTACATGCCGGGGGGATAATGAAAACATAAGCGACATCACCATCATTTAAGCATAGTATGGAACATTATCACATGCATGTTTAAATATCGCAATGAAATCTTACCTTCTAAGATGGAAGTTCGCTTGTATACTGCTGGGCGTAGGAAGATCTCGCATCACTATCTGTGGGGGTAATAATTACATGTCATCACACGTACCCAAAACTGTTATCTGAGTGAGTGGTGAGTGATGGCGGTGGTGGTGAGTGAGTGAGGAGTGAGGATGGTGAGTGAGTGAGTGAGGGAGTGAGATTTGTTTGGTGAGGTGAGGTTAGAGAGTGAGTAGAGGAGTGAGGAGTGGTGAGTGAGTGAGTGAGTGAGTGGTTTAGTGGGTGAGTGAGTGAGTGAGGAGAGTGGTGGTGGTGGTTGAGTGAGGAGAGTGGTGTGAGTGAGAGGTCCAGGAGGAGTGGTTGAGTGAGTGAGTGAGGAGGAAGTGAGTGGTGAGTGGTGAGTGAGTGGTGAGTGAGAGTAGGAGGTGGTGAGTGGTGGGCGAGTGGGTGAGTGGTGAGTGATGAGGAGAACCCCAAGTGATGCAGGTGGAACTCAACACCAAGGGGTATAGTGCTGATGAACTTTTGAATCATATTCGGTTGAAAATCGGGGATTAAAACCCGTGGTCACGTGCTTTTGGACATGTTCTGCTTTAATTTACAATTTGGTGAGGACAGACATTACGTACACTGAATATCCGACAGGTCAGAATGTACAAAGATTGGCCCCATTGTTCTCATTACACGCACAGTAAAGTCTCCTCCATTGTAAAAAAGTCGTTTTTTCTATAAAAAATGTGTGCATCCTCCTTATGTCTTCGACAAAGTCATCACCTTGCACTTTTGAAAATCTCCACCTTCAAAATCTGCAGCACAGCTACAGAATCTGGTCCAGAAGGTTTTGTCATTTTGTAATTGAACCAAAGATGTTATGTATACACTGAGTCTTCCATATCATGGAACTAAACAAGTGCTGTTTGCATGAACCATTCTAATATATGCTATTCATGGGACTTCTGACATGTTCTATGGAGGATTCCTAAGCTATTCTATTACAATAAATCGTTCCAAGAATTGTACCTCTATACCCCGATCAAGTGGCAACAGTTGATCTCAATGTCTTACACATACAGGAATTATCCTTATACCCCGATCAAGTGGCAACAGTTGATCTAAATGTCTTACACATTCAGGAATTATCCTTATACCCCGATCAAGTGGCAACAGTTGATCTAAATGTCTTACACATTCAGGAATTATCCTTATATCCCGATCAAGTGACAACAGTTGATCTCAATGTCTTACACATACAAGAATTATATTATACCCGATCAAGTGGCAACAGTTGATTTCAATGTCTTACACATACAGGAATTATCCTTATATCGATCGATCAAGTGGCAACAGTTGATCTCAATGTCTTACACATACAGGAATTATCCTTATACCCAATCAAGTGGCAACAGTTGATTTCAATGTCTTACACACATACAGGAATTATCCTTATATCCCCGCATCAAGTGGCAACAGTTGATCTCAATGTCTTTACACATACAGGAATTATCCTTATACCCGATCAAGTGGCAACAGTTGATCTCAATGTCTTACACATACAGGAATATCCTTATACCCCATCAAGTGGCAACAGTTGATCTCAATGTTCACACATACAAGAATTATATTATACCCGATCATGGCAAACAGTTGATCTCAATAATCTTACACATACTGAGAATTATCCTTATACCCCATCAAGTGGCAGACAGTTGATCTCAATGTCTACACACATACAGGAATTATCCTTATACTCCGATCAAGTGGCAACAGTTGATCTCAATAATCTTACACATACAGGAATTATCCTTATACCCCATCAAGTGGCAACAGTTGATCTCAATGTCTTCACACATACAGGAATTCATCCTTATACCCCTCGATCAAGTGGCAACAGTTGATCTCAATGTCTTACACATACAGGAATTATTCTTATATCCCGCGATCAAGTGGCAACAGTTGATCTCAATGTCTTACACATACAGGAATTATCCTTATACCCGCATCAAGTGGCAACAGTTGATCTCAATGTCTTATACATACAGGAATTATCCTTATACCCCTGATCAAGTGGCCACAGTTGATCTCAATGTCTACACATACAGGAATCATCCTTATACCCGATCAAGTGGCAACTTGAGTTGATCTCAATGTCTTACACATACAGGAATTATCCTTATACCCGATCAAGTGGCAACAGTTGATCTAAATGTCTTACATACAGGAATTATCCTTATACCCCGATCAAGTGGCAACAGTTGATCTCAATGTCTTACACAACAGGAATTATCCTTATAATTCATCAAGTGGCAACAGTTGATTTCAGTAATCTTACACAACAGGAATTATCCTTATACCCGATCAAGGGCAACAGTTGATCTCAATGTCTTACACATACAGGAATTATCCTTATACCCATCAAGTGGCAACAGTTGATCTCAATGTCTTACACATACAGGAATTATCCTTATACCCAATCAAGTGGCAACAGTTGATTTCAATGTCTTACACATACAGGAATTATCCTTATATCCGATCAAGTGGCAACAGTTGATTTCAATGTCTTACACATACAGGAATTATCCTTATACCCCGGATCAAAGTGGCAACAGTTGATCAATATCTTTACACATACAGGAATTCCACTCTACCCTGGCAAGGAGGGATGAGTTTTGTAGTGTTAGTGGATGCGCTGGCCTCGTGCAGACCTCCATACTGAAGTTGTCCTGGGCGTCGGCAAGTGTGAAAGTGTGCTGCTTCCTGGACGGGATGAGGCTCAGCTTTGGCAGCGCTGTGATCAGGTTGTCCGTCTCGGGATCATCCGACACCTACGGCATCAAGCAAGCATCACTGTTACACCTTAGCATAAGGATTCAAACGATAAACCACTGTTAGTTTTCACTGAAAACACATTTTCCAGGTATATGATAGGAGTAAATATTCCAGTCTGGACCAGAGAATCCAGTGACTGACATCATGAGCATCTGCTTTACGTGGTATTATAGAAATTCTTCAAAGGCATTTAGACTGACTGACTGAGTTAAGTTTTAAGCCGCTTTTAGCAATATTCCAGCAATATCACGGCGGGGGACACCAGAAATGGGCTTAACACATTTTGCCCATGTGGGGAATCGAACCCGGGCCTTCGGCATGACGAGCCAACACATTAGCCACTAGGCCACCCCACCGCCCCATAAGGCATTTAGAATTTGGTGTAGTAATACAAGACAAATCTTATGGATAACAACTTCTTGGTTGTTCACACAGACATTGCTGATCCCCCTTCACACAGACATTTCTGATCCACCTTCACACAGACATCACTGATCCACCTTCACACAGACCCACCTTCACACAGACATCACTGATCCACTTTCACACAGACATCACTGATCCACCTTGACACAGACCCACCTTCACACAGACATCACTGATCCACCTGCACACAGACATCACTGATCCACCTTCACACAGACATTGCTGATCCACCTTTACACAGACATCACTGATCCACCTTCACACCCACCTTCACACAGACATCACTGAATCACCTTCACACAGACATCACTGATCCACCTTCACACAGACATCACTGACCCACCTTCACACAGACATCACTGATCCACCTTCACACACACCCACCTGCACACAGACATCACTGAGCCACCTTCACACAGACATCACTAATCCACCTTCACACACACCCACCTGCACACAGACATCACTGATCCACCTTCACACACACCCACCTTCACACAGACATCACTAATCCACCTTCACACACACCCACCTGCACACAGACATCACTGATCCACCTTCACACACACCCACCTTCACACAGACACAGCTTGAGAGACATCTGGCTTGAGTGTGCTCTTCATGATCTTTCAAATCTTCAATCTCTTTCCCAACCAGGAATGCTGCCTGCAATACAAAGCATAGAACATATAATAGAGGTCTTGAAATATCTAAATGATCTAATACTACGATCAAGATGGTCGAGGATGCTTCCTGCTGAAACATGCATACAAGTGAGTGAGTGAGTGAGTGAGTGAGTGAGAGAGCAATATTCAGAAATATTGTACCCATGTGGTGAATCGAACCTGCGTGTTCGGCGTGACGAGTGAATGCTTCAACCACTAGGCTACCCCATCGCCCCAAACATGTATAACAAATATGTTATTCACATTGCCGTTTCACAAGTCAGGAAACTGCATCAGTTGTATATGTCCTGATTTAACAAACAATGAGAATTCTAATTCAGCTTAGTATGGAACACGAGTATAACAAGAATATCCCACTAAAGTTGAAGAAATCATATAATGACCAAATGACATTTATCTGAAACTGATAGTATAAATTGATTATTGATGTAAAATATCACAGGGTGTATTTGGTAAAAATCTGACCTCCTTTAGCTGCTCTCCCATGGCATTGCGACCTCTCATCTGAGAATATATGGAGGTCAGCACCTTCGCCCCTTTCACAGTGTCAGCCACAGATTTCTGCATCACCGTGGGTACCTTGGCCCCACTTTACCAATCAGAATCACCTGAAAGGAGTATTCAGTTGCCATGGTAACATATGTACCTATTAGCCAGCGTCACATTGGCAAAGCCGACATAACTATCATATCTGACACTTTGTTAGTCTATCCATGAACATTTTGTCAACAAAAGACATTGACAAAACAAATTTCTTACTACTAAAACAATACTGAAGAAAAACTAACACTAAACTGTGATGATTTTTAAACAATATATCAAGTTTTATTACCATTTGCGGCAAAATGGTTGAGTAATGGCTTTAAGACGCAAGTTGCTGGTAAAGGTCATAATATGATACTTGACCAACAACCAAGTCTCTATCTTGAGTCCCACTCATACCTACACGCACTGGACTCAAACACAAATTCAGATGTCACCATTGGTGCGTAACATACATGTTGACTTGGTGGCAGAAGAGAAGATTGCATCAGACGGCAAATTGGACAAGGGGAGATAACTCAATCCGAAAGGATTGGACAAGGGGAGATAACCAGAGCAGACACAAGCAAGCATCAGTTGCATGATGGCATAAACTGACAATGCTATTGTTGCAAGGTGGACCTACTTTACTGATGTCCGTCTTGTTCAGCCCTGCCTCAGTGAGGCACTTCTCTATGAGGCTATTGCCCTGCTGGAGGAGGTTGGTACAGAGACTCTCAAACCTGGCCCTGGAACAAACACACATCATGATGGCAACACAGGTGAACTGCTTCAAATCTCAGAGTGAGTGTTGTCGCAACAACAATAGATCAGTGCAGTCTGTACATTGTGGAGTTTATACTTAGCAAGCAAGTGCTCGACATCAAGAACGAACTTTTGAGGTGAGGTGAATTTGGGTTTAACGTCGTGTTTGAGAATATTTTGCTCATATGACGACGTGCATGCGTGTGTATGTGTATGTGCGGCTGCTTGTACTAGCCCAGATTTAAGCTGGTTTTATAGAGCCTACCAGTCCTTGATGTACCCATTAATGTCGAGCGCCAGGCAGGGACCAACAAGTACCATATTTTAATGTCTTTTGGTATGACGCTGTATCGATTGAATGTAATTTTCTGAGTAAAATTGATATTTTATACTTATCCTGACTCATGCTTATTGCTTGTCTCTTTCCTCTTGCGAACTTAGTGGAACACTTGTATCTCCTATTGAAGCTCCCTTCAATAAAACAGACGTAAAATCACTACTCACCAGAGTTGTCTCTATTTCCGTTTTGGCGGGAAACCGTGGCGCCACCGTTCTCCCACGCTTCACTCTCTCCTGATTATGAGCCCGACACTTGAATTTGCAGGGAAATCCAAAGTGTCTAGTGGGGAGGTTGGGAGGGCTTACCTCATGAGTCAGGATAAGTATAAAATATCAATTTTATTCAGAAAATTACATATTTTTCCTTATCCTGACTCATGCTTATTGCTTGTAGAATCCGACGGATTGGTGGCGGGCAAGTTTCTTTTGGATTTCATGTAGTGATTTACGTCATCTATACCCCCCTATGGGAACTTCGTATTGGCACTGTATTTAACTGCTAATCTCTGCTGCTGCTGCGACCTTGTCCTTCCAGCTGCCTTTTGATGGGGGGACCACAATTGTTAACTTTTGGTCCTTTCTTCTGTTAACATTTTATGTGGATTTTGCGACTCCATCTCTTGATGCAAGCACCAAGTGGAGAAGCGACCCTTTCCTGTACGAGTATTCCTACAAGTACTGGGTCATATCACTATGCTAGTCCTTAGACGTGCATTGAGACTTAAGCAGAACTCTACTGAGTGTAGGCTTGTAAGTCATGTGATAAAGGGGCGAGACTTCGTCTCAACGACTTTGAGGGACTGTCAACTGTTGTGCTACAACCAGTGGGCCGAAATGGTGAATGCCAGAGACGTCCTCGGTGGCAATATCCCTCAGGTAGTGGTTTGCAAACACCATGTCCGGTTTCCAAAAGCAGCCCTCCATTATTGTCTTTAGTGAGCAATTCCCATGTAGAGGGAGTGTTGACGCCAGAGCTCTAATTTCGTGTGGGTTGGAGGCTCTTGGAGGATCTAGTCCTGCTGCTTTGTAGGCTTGTAATATGACAGTTCTGATCCAGATTGATATCGTAGTGGGGGAGACCTCCGTCTGCGTCGCTGTTGATATCGGGATGAAAAGTCGCTTGAACTTTTGTCTCCTTAGTCTGGATCTTTGTAGATATGCCTTTAATGCTCTCACTGGACACAATGATAGGTCTTGCGTATCTTGTGGTCCAAGGACGGAGGATAGTGCTGGGACGTGGAATTGCCTGTCCGGTTGACCTGGCAGTTGATTCTTTGCGATGAAATCCCATCGTAGTCCCATATGCACTCTGTTTTGATGTTCATCAAAGCATGTTCTCTCATAGTCCAGAGCATGTATTTCAGACATCCTAGCTGCCGTTGCTGGCGCTAACAGGAACAGCGTCTTTTGTGTCAATAACTCGAAGGATGTCCTCTGTAATGGTTCGTAGACGTCACTAGTGAGATGTCGTAGAACAATGTTGAGGTCCCACGCCGGAGCTTTGAATCTCTGTTGTTGGTCCTCCAATTTATAAGAGCGTAGTAAGGCCAGTAACTCTGGTACTTTCATTAGCTTGGCACCTGTCCTCATAGTGATGACTGAGCTCAATGCCACTAGGTACGTTGAGAGTGTTGACCCTTATAACCATTTTATTTGCCGTAGGTGACAAAGGTAGTCCGCCACTTGAGGGTGTGTCGCCTTTCTAGCTGCAAACCCATTCCTTGCAGCGTATGTCTCAAAACTTCGCCACTTGTCGTCGTACAAGTTGCGTGTAGACTTGCTTAGACTAGTGTCACTGCTTTTGCTGCTCTGGCGGAGTACCCTCTCTTATTCAAGCATGCCTTGATACAGTCCACATGTGTAGTTGGAATGCCCCTGGGTTGCCGTGTGCCTGCTTTGTGTGAGGATGTACGAGGAGATTCGTCCACCCTGGTAGTTGCAGTTGCGGTGGTCCTAGTTCTTGCACGAGACTGGGGAACCATACTCTTGCTGGCCAGTAGGGCGCGACCAAAATCAGTTGGACGTCCGTGGTCTGGCTGATTTTCTGCAACACCCTCGGTATTAGCGCTGGCGGTAGAAACGCGTATGCGTTTAGGCCTTCCCAGGATAT